CCCCGAACTGCCATCAAAGCGCAAGCCTTGACAGACTTTGTTGCAGAATGCACATTCAGCTCCGACGTTTCTAGCCTGGTCGAGCACGAGGCTCCTAGTTCAGGTGAGCTCGGTGCTCCCAAGCAGGTTGAGTCCGAGCACCATGAGGTCGCACCCAGTTCGGTATCTCTCCTGGTTAGGCCGAGCACGAACTGGGATGAGGAGCCCTGGATCCTTCACGTAGATGGCTCCTCAAATCAGCAGGGCAGCGGAGCCAGTGTAGTTCTTCGCAGCCTGAGTGGCATAAAACTGGAGTACACACTACGCTTTGAGTTCGCGACATCCAACAATGAGGCGGAATATGAAGCATTGATAGCCGGGCTAGCCCTAGCTCAAGAAGTAAGAGCGAAGCACATAATTATCTGTAGCGATTCCCAACTTGTGGTCAACCAAGTTACGGGCGAATACGAAGCACGCGAGCTAACTATGATCGCCTACTTGGCAAAGGTAAATGAGGCTCTGCTCAACTTCCAGTCATACTTCATCAAGCAAATCCCGAGGTCAGAGAACACTGAGGCTGACGCCCTATCCCGGTTAGCCAGCACCAGTCACAACGCCATGAGAATTGTGTACATAGAGGAGTTACCTCGGCCTAGCGTTCTCGGGAGGGCAAAGGAGGTCGCTCCCGTCCTTGAAGCAGAGCCGAGCTGGATCGACCCACTCGCGAGCTTCTTACTAGATGGGACCCTCCCTGTAGATCGCAATGCAACCAGAAGGGTGCAGTGCCAGGCAGCCAAATATGTCATAATAGACGAACGGCTGTACCGACGATAAAGGGTGGAAAGGTATGTGCAGCCCGACGACGAGCTGCTCCTGGAATATCACGATCTCGTCTGGACCGTGTTCCCAAGGAAAGTCACCCAAGGGTATAAAGTAAGTATACTCCCCGGGCAGGTTGAACTGGGTGATAAGGGAGTAAAGCCCCTCAGGCGTCATGGTTGAGGACCCGAATTTGTCTAACGTCCGACCTCGACGGGAGGAGGACACCAAACTACCCGAGGCGGCTCGGCCTACGGGTTCGAACTCTTCCTCGAGCTCTCCTTGGAGCTCTACCTCAGGCTCTGCCTCAGGCTCACTAAGGCTATCGGAGGCCGCAGCTCAGTTCGTGGAACCTGCATTTGACCCCCTCAAGAAGCTGTCTAAGCTGTCCGAGCTAGACATCGGGAGGAAAGGAAAACCAGGAAGAAAGTACTGACTCACTCGGAAAAAGCTAACGGACTACGAAAGGTTGACGCGAGCTCAAGAAGCGAACGCAGGAAAATGGCGATGGAAAGCGACTGGGGGTCCCCCACTATTTATACCCACAGTGATCGAAAACCGACGGCTCTGATCGAGGAAAATCCAACGGCTCATGATCAAGCTGACCGCACGGCTCCTAAGACCGAGACGTGACTGGCCGCACATCTTTGGAAACTGAAGCGGTGTCGGCGCATGTCTCCCAGCATTGAAGACAACAATGGCGCATTTTTTTGAATTTGAAATAACGCCCGCCATCACGTCTCCCAGCATTTAAAGACGGATTGGTGCGTTTTCTGAATTTTTGGCGCTCGAGGAATCCGAAAATCTCCTTACGTACGCACACTTCACGCCATCAGTCAACCGGTTTGAAGTACGGGTCAAATCCACCCGTCACCTCATGAACTCCCCGCGCTAGGACAAGACCCTTAACGTGAGGAGTGGGGGGCAATTGATGGAGGGAGATTTAGCCCGACCTCTTGGCCACCTAACACGTGGAAGCAACCGAGGGTGACCTGGCAAGAGCGACAGCTCGGCACGGTAGTGCCCTCAAGGCACGAGCTCCGAGAAGAGGAACCCACAGTCCGAGCTCCCCAAAAAGAGTTCGAACTCTCCCTTTGACCCCGAGCCTTACGAGGAACGCAAAGGGCAACAACCCGAACTGGTCCACCCCAGGGCAGTTCGGGCCACACTTCTATCTGAACTCAAGACTTTTGCACACCACTCCAGCACTTTGTCTCCAGGCCACCAAATTGAATAATCGTACCTGACACCAAAGGAGTATGTATCCTGAGGCGGCGCACCTGACTGACTTAGGGTCTGACGCTTGACAACCACACTTCAATGGCCACCTGCCACCGCCACCTCCAGTTACAGAGACGGCTCCGACAAAGAGAGCAGTGGCGGTTGTCTGCCCCAACAGAGGTGATGACACCCGAACTGGCAGAAGTGCAGAGGTAATGATACCCGACCTGACAGGAGCTTGGGAGTGAGTGCGCGAAGTGGTTATAAAAGGTCCTCTTCCCCCACGAATGGAGGTACGTGATAACTTTGTGCCATCTAGTTTTTTATCTTGCCTTTGAGAAAATACTTACTTGAGCTTCAGAGCATTCTCACCGGGTTCCTCCCCGGAGACTACTCGCTTTCTTCCCCGTTTCAAGCATCTCCTGCTCCAGTCAGAGGTAAGATCGTTGATAGCTAGGACCAACCGGATTGCGCTCCATCACTTCAGGAGGTGAAGGAGATGCAAGCAAACCCTTTTGATATATTTGGGTGGCAGTTCGCGATCAAAGGTCCCCGTGACACAGAGTTCGAGGGAGGAATCTATCACGGACAGATCCAATTGCTAGTAGAATATCCATTCCAACCTCCTGCATTTATGTTGTTAACTCCTAATGGTCATTTTGAAACACAGACGAAGATTTGTCTAAGCATATCCAATCATCATCCGGAGCATTGGCTGCCATCTTGGAGCGTGAGAACTGTTTTGGTAGCATTGATTGCATTCATGCCCACCAACCCAGATGGTGTACTGAGCTCATTGGATTACAAGAAGGAAGAAAGACGTGCATTAGCCATCAAATTTCGTGAAGCAGCCCCTAGATTTGGAACTCCAGAACGTCAGAAATTGATTGATGAGATTCACCAGTGTATGTTAAGCAAGGCACCACCAATTCCGCAATTAAATACCCCGCAGGCCTCGAATGAAGAAGAATCAACCGAGAAAGAAGCAGAGGCAGAGGGTAGCCCGCAAAATTCTGGAGTGCAAGGTTTGTCCTTTGCCGGCACCTAACAATCGTTGTTGTCGCCACTGATCTCCAGAGGTCTTGGAGCGCAGACCTCTTGCTCCTATTTCGTTGCTCTGATACCATGTAAAACCAGAGCTTTTCTAGTGTATACTTTTCTGTATTTTATTCATTGAGAATTTAAGTATATATATACATGAATACAACCACCGAATCTCCTAAGCTTATGGCAACTAGAACTCCTAAGTTTACAGGGACTCAAATATATCTTTCCTATCCTATCTGAACTATTCATGATAAGGAAAGGATAAGAAGATATATACAAATAAGATAATACTGAACGGACTCCTAATCCTAACACTTTCTCTAGCCATCACTCTTCAATGGCCTCTTCACCAATTGGGTGTTGAATGTGCATTTCTCCACAGTGATATTCAGGAAGAAGTCTATATGGCTCAACCTCCAAGCTATACAGATTCTTTACGACCTACATATGTTTGCAAGATGTAGAAGTCCATCTATGGCTTACAACAAGCACCGCGAGCCTGGTATGAGAAATTCAGTTCTACACTTTTAGATTTTGGCTTCTCCATCTCTACTTTTGATTCTTCCCTCTTTATTTACCATCGTGGGCATGATATCATCCTCCTCTTATTGTATGTTGATGATATCATCATCATGGGCAGCAACTCTACACTAATTTCTACACTCATTGTGTTTCTTAACAACAACTTCAAGATGAAAGACTTGGGCCCGTTGTCCTATATTTTTTGGGTGTTCATGTTAATCGTACTCCCCACGACCTATTTCTTAATCAGTCCAAATACATTATGGATCTCTTGGATTGTGCAAATATGGGGGGCTGTAAACCTACATCCTCACCCACTTCTTCCTTCCCAATTACACATGATGACAGTCCATTGTTGCATGATCCTTTACATATCGAAGCCTGGTTGGAGATCTTCAATATGTCACCCTAACTAGGCCGGACAATGCGTTTGCTGTTAATCAGGCATGCCAACATTTACACTCATCCACTGAGGCCCGTTATACTACTGTGAAAAGAATATAATTCCGAGGTACCTGAAAGGCACCATCACCACTGGACTACACTGAAGTTTAGTCACTTTGTACGTGAACAAGTGCTTCGTAAATTTCTCCAGGTTCATCATGTGTCTTCTATAGACCAGGCTGTCGATTTATTTACTAAATGACTCATCCTAGATCGCCTACGGAGTTTGTTGTCCACGTTGAACATTAGTCCACCCCCTGTTCAGCTTGAGGGGGGGATGATAACATAGTCTACTTGGCTTATGTTTAATACTTGTTCACTCTAAAAAGAACTTGCTTATGAAGAAGAGATCCGGAGATTTGCAAGGCAGGGCATCGGAGCTTCTGTAGACACTAAAGAAGGATAAGAGACAAGCCAGAGTTCAAGCCCTCAAGGAGTTGCAACAGGTCATAGCCGCCCATGAATCTGATGCTACCCGCTGAGATTTCTTTGACGGTACATTTTGAACGAGGGGTCCATCAAAACCAATGGGATGGATAGAGTTTGGCACATCTTTTCAATGATTTAATCCCTTTATTATTTATTTAGCATTTTGATCCTAAAAATAAATAAATAAATAGATGACACCCAAAGGATATTTATGTTTTTTCACATGTCATTTAAAGGCTGGTTAGTGGTAGGTATTAAATTGGCATGTTCTAAAAATTTAGATACTGAATTAACAAATTTTAAAATTCAGGGACCAAAGTGACACAAAGCCCAGGATACTACCCCAAATAATTGGCAGTCCAGTGGCCTCTTAAACTTAGGAATTTTGACCCGCTCATGAAGTCTTGAACCACACAGATACATGATCTGACCCCATGTGATGAGCGATGACCGATGAGGAGAGCCATGGGGCCACAAACAATCACTAGCACTGATAGATAGAGATTACAGAAGAGATAAGGTGGTTGGGTATTGGGGTCTTTATTTCTTGCTTTGTTGTATGTAGGATTGGAGATTAGAACGAAAGGAAAATCGAGTGAGGTGATACCCATAGAGGAATGAGATTAGAGCAAACAAAACGGGGAGAATGCTATTTCGTGTGGCAATTCCATTTCCACCAACATCATCAGCTTTGTCTCATCAAATACACCCTTATTTTTCCCATATTAGAATGTCTAGGAATGTTGTGGGTGCAAACAACACCGTGATGAAGACCAATTCGATTGCGCCTCTTACTACTATCACCAGAGCAATAAGCAGCTGCTATAATACGACTACGAGAGCTACCGGCACCATTCTTGCAGCGGCGTTAATCTTCTCAGTTGCTGCAGTCGAACCACAACAACAATCTCAGTTGGATACTCTGTCCAATATCCCACAGATCCTTTCCGGCGAATGTGCTTCTCCTACCGACTGTAAGAAAGCGAGGATTCAACGGCCAAAGTCGAGGAAGGCAGAGGCATGTACCACCAAGTGCGTCACAACTTGCATCCGAGGTGGTGCTGGCTCCCCTGGCGAAGGTCCTCTCAACGCCAGAGGGTAACAATTAATAATCATCCCTCTTTTCTTTCTCTTTCTTCTTCTCATTTCAATTGCTGCCGGATAGGATAAGGCTCATGCATGTTCAACCAATCCAATTCATATCATATATTAAGATGATACTTAGAAATGGGCTGGGTTGCCTTATGAGTCTGTTCTAAAATCTGGTCCTAAAAGCCCAAGCCCAACTGGTTCTTTCAGGCCAGGCATGATTGCTAGTATGTTTATTCATTCATTGGGAAATGGGAATGACCTTGCTGCTGAGTGCTGGTGGAATTGATTTAAGACCCTACAGGAAACAGGAGGCACTAATCTCCCACCTATTATATATTAACCTACCTTTTATCAAGACTTATGACCATTTGATAACAGCTGAAGTTGCTGAAACCAATTAGAATACTTCACATCAGTCATAAAATATATAGAATTCATAACCATTCAACCTCTAGGTGTGGTCATTATTATTGATTTCACAGCCTGTTATACAGCTAAAGAGTTCAGCTAATTAATCCAAATTCTCAGCATCAATCATTAAAAGAACCCACAATCTCCTTAAGAGGCTGCATTTGGCATTCCTTATTTTAAGGATTTATCTCTTTTTTACAGTTAAAATGCCCTATAAATAGTGAATTTTTAACTGTAAAAAGGAGATAAATTCTTAAAATAAGAAATGCCAAATGCAGCTTAAAACTTGTTCCCTTTTAATTCCACAACTTCAGGTGTCATCAAACGGCCCCTTTTAAGTGTTTAAACGGTTGGGCCTTACATATGCAGAAGATCCCTAGATAAGGAATGATTCAAATCAGACATGGATGACAAGTTATGGAGAGAACTTTAATTCCCTTCACGACCTGAAGTTTTTTTTGCCACGTGGATGGATGTCATGGCTACAGCAAACCATCTATGACTATGGGGCCAATTTGGGCCCCCAAGCCCATTTGCTACAGGGATCTCCCTGCATGGCCCGTTTGCCCATATGAAGGCCCCTGCTTCAGCGTATCAGGTGAAAGAGAACCTGATATACATAAATAATGTCCTTAAGGTTTCATTAAAATTTGTCTTCCTCTTTGTTGTAGGCCCATTGTAGTCTTCAAGCAAGGGTTTCGAAGTCGCCGGTACTGGTAAGTTCATTGCTTTCATGAAGAAGAAAAGTTTCTTTCGCAAATAATTTTCTCAGACTAAGGCCCCATTTGGTTCGTGGGAATAGGGGTCTGGAATCGGAATCAGAATAGGCTATTCCGATTCCAACTGTTTGGTTGGGTGGAATTAGAATCTCATTCTCATTCCTGCTGGAATGGCATTCCCCCATTTGAGAGAATGGCCATTTCCTGCTTTTCCCTTGGGCATGAAATCCCATTTTTGCAGATTTTAATCCCTATTCCCATTCCTGTCTGAACCAAACAAACTATGAGAATGGACCATTCTGATTCCGATTCCGGAGGATTTCAATTCCAATTCCAATTCCGATTCCAGACCAAATGAACCCCAAGTATTGTTTGGTATCTTTGCTATTTCTTAGTTGATCAATACCTATAATATTAAATTTGATGAAAAGTACCAGTGATCAATACCATCCATGAATCTTTCTAATTAAAAGTGACTGTCTTATGCATGTGATGTGACACATTTCCAAATAATACTGTCTATGATAAGACACATTTCTCAAAAATTTGTGTTAACCAACCCAAACTTTGCACCTAAAAATGGTTAAAATGGCAATGATACCAAACAATACTCTAACCAAATAATATAAATCATTACATGTAGACATATGTTTAGTTATAGATAAACAGTTAGCTTTCTAGGCTAATTCTTTTATTTGTCTCATGCTTTGCACAGCTTGGTCGAGTGCTCCGACATATGTAATCTAATCAAAGATGGTGAAGACGGACCATAAATTGAATTTTTTTTTTTTTTTGGTTTATTACTTTCAAACATTTAAAGTTATCCATTCATGTTTGTCCAATGACATAGTATATATGTATACCTGAAATTCAAGTGTATTTCAGTAATCTTTTTCTGTTGAGGTGTAAAGACATTCTTTTTTACTAACAAACAAGCATCCATTTTATAGGTGCAAGTTTTTTCCCCTTTCATAACTTATTGCATTGCCAAGATAAAGTTGGGACTTCGAAGCTAGTAGCTAGTCAATCAGAGGACATGGTTGAGGTTGGGGATTTTGGGGAATCTTTATTTAGACTGTGGAGATGAGGATCATTATACCCAATGTTGGTCTTACGTATCTGGGGCCGTGAGAATGATAGACTGGATATGATCTTAATCTTTGGCATTTTTTTTTCACACAAAATTGCTGCCCTCTAATTCAAACATGTATTCTCACACATTTTTTTTATAGATTGGAAAAAATATATTTTCACATTTGCCAGAGTAAATGGCCCTATAAAGTGGAATACTGCTTTACTTTGATTGCATATTGAGAGGATGCAGTTTCATTAGAATAAATATAAAATAAAAAATCTTACAAAGTTTTGCGATATTTGAAGCTAATAGCAAAAATCCCATCCTTGTGTATGGATCACCTGTTTTTTGGCCTAACTACATTAATATGATAGATCAAAACTCTTTAGATTCAGTCTCATGCTATAAGTCACCTGTAAAATTTGGGCCAATCACATGTTGACACGCAATCTAAAGCTTAAGGTTGCGTTTGGAAATAATGCAAATGGAGTGTAAATCTAGGTTCAGGATAAATTTGCACTCTGGTTCACTTTGCTTGTACTTGGCAACATTACATTTTTGCATTGACAAATGACAGATCAATGCATATTTACATTGATAATAAGATGTAAAAGTACATNAAAAAAAAAAAAACATATGCTTTATTGGAATTCGTATTTTCAGCCATTACAACTAAAAGCCTAGTTGGAAAGAACTAAGAAGGTAAATTTGTCAATGTAAAACTAACCCAACTTTGCAATTTATATAAATGCTGCATTTGGTTGCAATGCAAATGCAAATATGTACATTACATATTTATCCATTTTCCGGTTCATAAATGCAAATACGGTTCACATTTTAAACCATTTTTGTGTTCATCTTATTCGTTTGAAATCAGTGCACCTTGGGTAACTTGGCTTGGATTTTGGGTCGTAGAATGGGCTTAAGCCCATATCCTAGGCTTTTAAATTAAGGGTGCAACTTGGGCAGGCCCAACCCAACCCGAGTGTGTTAAATTTAAGCTCGAGCTGGGCTCTGATCATTCTGTTTTTACTTCGGCTCAGTCCCTACTTATAGCTGATTGGGTCGGGCCCGGGGTTATCCTAAGCCTGACCCAATCCGCCCAACTTGCACCCCTAATGAATGGCGGTATACGATCTCTAATACTAGTTTGGTTTATAATAGTAATATTGATCCTTGGAGTAAAGAAAAATGTGCCATTTTATTATGGTTTATTTGGAAAAATAGAAATGAATATCTATTACATAACTGTTGCACCCCCTCCCATTCTGATTGAGAAAGCTACTAATTTTGTCTTGGATATCAAATCTACCATTAGTAGAGATTCTAATAATGAAAGTGTTAAAACAAAGGGAACGTTAATTTTGATGCATCTTGCAACTCCGATGGTTTTTATTATATTGCTTGTATTGCAAGAGACCATCTTGGTATGGTTTTAGATTTGAAACACTATTGTATTGGCAAGGCATCAATTAACCATGTTGAGGCCTGAGCTGCTTGGGAAACGGGAAACCCATAATGTTGCTTGGAATTCTAGGGACTTCAACATTATTATTGATGGTAATTTGAAGATCGTCGTTAATTGCCTAAATAAGACTATGGATCCGCCATGGAATTTGAAGACAATTGTCGAGTAGTATTTGCAAGTGAATGCTCTTTTGGATTGTGGTTATTGCTACTAGCAATAACTCATGCAACTTCTTTCAACCTGGTTCTTGATGCTTCCAATTCCTTCCTTGGGCTTTAGCTTACATTTGTTTTTGCTACTACAAGTCAGAGACCGGCGATGGAGAAAATGATCGTTGCAAATCCTGACGATAATTTTGCATTTAAATCTTGAACATGTGATATTGTAGTGGAAACATCGAGGACCGAAGAAGGGGAAGAGTGAGAGAATAGACTCTCTAAATCCCCTAATACACACAACTATGACATGGAACCTACCGCTGAGGCCTATGGAACAACTCAAGGAAGAATGCGTTCCAAGTTTCGAATCTTCTACAATGATAATGTTGAAGTCTTGCTCTTTCTATAGAATGTAATTTCTCTCTCTCAACAAAACAAACACACACTGGAGGAGGGAATTTCTGGTCGGAGGCTTAGGGAAGAGTAGCTTAATTCTTCCTTATTGTCCACGCCTTCTGTCTTTCCAATTTTGCATCATCCTCTTCTTCGTCATCTGAAAACCACACCTCCTCTAGATCTAGATCTGCTGTTGCAATCAATGGCGGAGACACCACGCTGAAAACCCCTTCAATAGGCCGTCTAATGAAGATGGACTCTTCAAAGTTCAAATCCAACCTCGCAGTGGTGCCTTTACTCTCCACTACATCCCGCGTAATAGTGTAAATCAAGGAATTAGTTAAAGACTTGGGTTCCTTGTGCGATATTTCATTGAACATATGCTTGGCTTACCTAGGCGTCGTTGGGCGGGTTCCTCTTGGAACCTCTCCACTCAAAGACTTGGGCTAAAGTAGCCCAAGTGTAATAAAATAAAGTAAGGATAGGGCAAAGTTGGGATTTAGAAAAATTAAATGGGTCATATGATATATCACATGTATGCAGTATCTGACGGTCAACCAAGGGAAGGGTCCTTTAAATCATATTTCTGAAAGTTTAGGGATAATTAAAATATGGTTTTGAAGTTGAGGATTAGTCTAAGTAATTTAAGTAATTGTAATAGTTCAAGTAATTATCCCAAACTTTTATTAACTTTTTCTTAAGTGTTGATGCACGTTTTGAAATAGAATAAAAAGACAGAGCTTACTGTTGAAATGTAAGAGTGGTAGTTTTGTAATTTTCTTTTATATTTTGTCTTTTGTATTTAATGGGTTGTGTTGGAACTTGAAAGCTGAAAGTTCTAGACTATAAAAGTAAAACCCCGTTTTATATCTTATAATCTGAAACATCTTGTAAGAAAGAACAAGAAGACAAGAATAAAGTAAAATCCAAAACCGTAAGTTGGCTTTTCATATTCTTTGCTTATTTTCTTCATTCCATATTCATTTCTCTTTTAGAGATTTTTTGGTTCTTCATTTGATTTTTACCACCATACTTCCTTTGTTTCAACAAACTTTTGTTATCGAGCAAAGATCCATTCAATCATTTAGATCTAAAACCAAAACCTTTTATGGCATCAAGTTTCAAGAGCTTTGTTTTAGATACTTTCAAAAAATTCCACTTTCTGTTTTTTATGGAGAAAACCATCATTATTGGAAAATACAGATGAGATGAGAACATTTTTCATCTCCAAAGAGATTTGGGAGTTAGTAGAAGGATACGAATAACCAAAAAATCATGAGCAACTTGTAACATGAACTGAAAACAAGAAGGGAATTTAAGGGCACCGAAAAGGTAACATCCATAAAACTTCAAATTCTTTGAAGAGATTTTGATAATATTATGATGAAAGTGAATTTATTCAAGGGTTCTTTTTCAAGTTGTTGGTTTTGTAAACCAAATCAGAATATAAGGAGATGTTATCTCATATGGAGATATTATCTCAGATGAAAAAATTATAAAAAATGTTCTAAGGAGTTTACTAGTTAAATTTGATCATGTGGTGGCTGCCATTGAAGAAGCCAAAGAAGTAGATCGTATGGAAGAAGAAGAAGTGAAAAACAAAACAATGGTTGTTTTATTTGCAAGAAAGATAACCATTTGCCCCAAGACTATTATTTCAAATGTTAAAAATGCAAAAACCATGTTCATGCTGCAAAAAATTGCAGATTTAAGGAGAAAGAGCAAGCCCACTATATTGAAAATGATGATATAGAAGATCATCTATTTTACTCTTATATGAATACCCAACAAGAGCCAAAAAAAGTTTGGTATTTGGATAGTGGTTGTAATAACCACATAACAGGAAACAAAGAATGTTTTCTTGAGTTAAATGAAAGTGAAGCTTGGAGATGGCAAACTTCAAGGTGTTGAAGGAAAGGGTGTTATTTCAGTCTAGATTGTGCAAGATAATTCTGAACTCATTTTTTATATTTTTTATGTTCCTTGTTTGACTCAAAATTTGCTTAGTGTTGGACAATTTATACAAAAAGGTTATGAGGTGTACTTTGGCAATGATAAATGTGTAATAACTGATAAGAAGAAAGGTCAAATCATTACTAAAGTAAAAATGGTTGCAAACAAAGTGTTTCCATTAACTATGTTTTATGACGTGAGCTATGGGCTGAAAAGTGAAAAGTTGGATGAGTCCATGTTATGGCACCTAAGATATAGACACTTGAATTTCAAAAGTCTCTCATTGTTAAATAATAAGAGTATGATGATTTTACTTGCTCAAATTGATAGAGAACATAAAGTATGTGAATGTTGTGTCTATGGGAAGCATCATAGACTATCATTTTTAGAGAGATCCTAGCATTCAAAGACACCATTGGAGCTTGTTCATGCTGATATTTGTGGTTCCATAAGGGCTCCTTCCTTCAACAACAAGAGGTACTTCATTCTCTTTGTTGATGAACTTACTAGAATGATGTGGGTATATTTCTTAGATACAAAATCACAAGCATTGCCTACTTTTATTCACACAAAGCTTTTATTGAAAAGCAAAGTGACACAAATTAAAAGTTAATGACTGATGGAGGAAAAAAGTTTACGTTGAAATAATTTAGGAAGTTTTGTAAAGAACAAGGCATCAAAAGAAAGTTAACGGTAAGACATACCCCACAACAAATGGAGTAGTTGAAAGAAGAAATAGAATCATTGTAGAAATGGCACAAAACATGATGCAAGGTAAAAATCTTTCAAAAAAATTTTTGGCTGAAACTGTTCATATTTGCTATCCACATATTAAATTACTCTCCCACCAAATCCGTGCAATATAAAACACTTTTTGAAGCATGGCACAAAAAGAAGCCTGTTGTTAACTCATTCAAAGTATTTGGCTGCATTACTTATGCTCACATTTCCTCAAAGAACAAAAGGATGTTTGATGGCAAAGGTGAGAAATATGTTTCCTTGGATGTAATATTTGATGAAGAAGGGGGCATGGAACTTTGAAGAAAATTCCTCACAAACAAATAAATATGTTATAGAAGATGAAGAAAAAAGTGATGTCCAATGACCATGAGCATGATACAATTACATCAAATGCAAAACCAACAAACTTAAGAAAATCAAGCCCAACAAGTTTCAGTCCAAGAATGGATCCCTTAAGTTCAAGAAACCAATATCCATGGAAAATAAGCCCAAGTGATGTAAATAAGGATACTCCACCAAAAAAGGCATATTCACTTTAAGAAACCTTTGATTCCTGTAATGTTGCATTTCTCGCACTAGAACCATAAAGTTTGAAAAAACTTCAAAAGAAGTTTAGGTGAAAATTATAGATGAAGAATAAAAATGATAGAGAAGAACAAGACATGGAAATTGATTAATGAATCAAAAGAAAAAGAAGTAATTGGATTGAAATGAGTTTACAAAACAAAGTTCAATGAAAATGGTTTAATCCAAAAGCACAAAGCAAGGCTAGTAGTTAAAGGCTATACCCAATAATCGGGGGTAGATTTTCATGAGACTGTTGCACTAGTTGTGCAAGAATGGAAACAATTAGAATTGTGTTTGCACTTGCTGCTCAACTAAAACTTTTTCAATTTAACATGAAATCAGTCTTCCTAAATGGAGATTTAGAAAAAGTTTATGTTGAATAACCACAAGGTTATGTGATATAAGTAAAAGAGGACAAGGTTTACAAGCTTCGAAAAGCTTTATATGGCTTAAAGCTAGCACCTCGGGCACAGAATAGCAAGATTGATAAATACTTCGATAAAAATGATTTAAAAAAAGTCCAAATGAGCCATCACTCTATGTCAAAAAGGAATATATGCATGATTTTATTTTTGTCTGTCTTTATGTTGATGATTTGATTTATACAAGTAACAACCCAAAATTGTTGAATGAATTCTAATTAGCAATGACCAAGAAATATGATATGACTGATTTGGGGTTAATGAGATGTTTTCTTGAGATTCAAGTGAAGCAAAGAAAAGGTGAAATTATTATGTCTCAAGAGAAGTATGTTGATGATTTGTTAAAAGATTTCAGATGTCATCATATAAAGCTCTAGTTACTCCTATGATTGTCAATGAAAAGTTGTCAAAGGAGGATGGAGTAAAATTAGTAGATGCATTAATCTATAGAAGCCTTGTTGGTTCTTTGATTTATCTCACCAATACGAAGCCAAATATTGTTTTTACTGTGAGTATTGTTTCAAGAATCAAGATACATGAACAAGCCAAGTTCATTTTGAGGTAGCAAAGAGAATACTTTGATATGTGAAAGGAACTAAGGGTCCGTTTGGTTTGCAGGAATAGGGGTCTGGAACCGTAATTAGATTGGGCTATTCCGATTCCAACTGTTTGGTTGGGTAGAATTAGAATCCTATTCCCATTCCTGCTAGAATGACATTCCTCCATTTTAGAGAATAGTCATTCCCTACCCCTCCCTTGGGAATGAAATCTCATTCCTGCTAATTCTAACTCCCATTCCCATTCTTGTCTGAACCAAACAGACTATGGGAATGGACCATTCCAATTCCGGAGGATTTTGATTCTGATTTCGACTACAAACCAAACGGATCCTAAGAACTTTGGGCTGAAATATAAAAGTGAAAATGAATCCAAGCTCAAGCTGGTTGGATTTCCAGACAGTGATTAGGCTTATCCCATGGATGATCAAAAAAGTACAATTGGATATGTTTTTTCTTTGGTAAGTAAAATGATTTATTAGTCATCCAATAAGCAAAATAATGTGCCACTCTCTTCAGCTAAAGCAAAATACATTTCAGTCACTAGTGCATCTTGTGAAGCAATTTGGCTTAGAAGATTTTTGGAAGACCTTCAATTTGTGCAAAATGGCCCAAACTACAATCTACTATGACAACACTTCAACTATTGCAATGACCAAAAATCCAGTTTTTCATGAAAGAACAAAGCATATTGAGCTGAGACACCAATTCATCAAAGAGTTAACTGAGAAATGAGAGATTGAATCGAAGTTCATTAAAACTGAAGATCAATTTGTTGATATCTTCACAAACCTCTAGCTTCTAAAAAATTTCTGCGTTTAGATCTCTAATGAAAATTACAAATTAAGAGGGGATGTTGATGAAAAGTAAGAGTGGTAATTTTGTAATTATTTTATATTTTATCTTTTGTATTAAGTGAGTTGCCTTGCCATGAGAGCTAAAAGTTCTAAACTTAAAAGTAAAACCCCTTTTTATATCTTGTAGTAATCTAAACATTTTGTAACAGAGAACAAGAAGCCAAGAACAAAATAAAACCCAGAAACTTAAGTTTGCATTTCACATCTTCTTCTCTTCTTATCTTCATTCTATATTAATTTTCTCTTCTAGAGACTTTTTGGTTCTTCCTTCCATTTTTACCACCACACTTCCGTTGCTCCAACACTTACAATGAGTTTTGGGCAAACAAGCCAAGTATAGATTCTTGAGGAAGAAGTAGAAAATCGATCTAAAATATAAGCAACTTGATTTGCTGTCGGTCGAACATGAGTAATCGAGATGAAAGGGTAGGCTTGCCAAAATTTGCAGTCGTTGTATGTATGGCTCGAGAATAAATATGGTTTACTCTATGGTAACGGGCCACGATACCTACTCCGGCTGAACTGATCAGTCTCCACTAACAGCTCTGTGGACGTTCATCTTAAGCTGTACCCATCAGAGACTTCCGGATTGGCAATAACTTCTCAACTTCGAGCTTGTGGGCGGGTGAGAATAGAGATTGGATCAAGTATTGATTGATGTTCAAAGAACAATTTGTTCAAATAAACCATGCAGAAGTGATAAGATTATTATGGTCGGTCTATGGATGCCTGCAACCGCATTAGGAGATTAGCTGATGAAGAAAGAAATGCCACGTGGAATTTAACCAGATCATTAGGACCAAGTCAATCCTAATAAGGGGAATATTGGTTCTTTCTCGATTAGCTGATAAAGAAAGAAATGCCACGTGGCAATCCATGACGAGTCATTTAAATTTCTAAATTCTCTGGTTTCAATTCAGGTTAGTTTGTTTGATTGGTCCTAATCTCCTATTGACCACCAACCTCTCGTGAGTCCAACTCCCCCAAAGAAAACATGAAGAAGAGAATCTGTTTTTACATAGGCATTCCTTCCTTGATGAAATCTTTTGCTTTTGTCTAATTTCTCTAGCTTCCCGTCATCCTCCTCCTCAAACAAGAGATGACGACGAGGAGGATGAGACCTTCAACCCCTTAGAAACCAAACCAAAGCGAAGAAGGATCAGATCATCAAACACATTTAGAATATATAGTTAGCTGGGTTAACGTTCTCAGCTCGCCTCATTAATTGCACCAACATCGATCAGAACCCAAGATTATTACATGCAGTCTGCAGAGAATAGAGAAATTGAATTATTGAATTGAAGAAAGAAAGAAGGTAGGGGCCGGGTTAAAACAAAAAGGTAGTCAAGATGAACGACCTATTCTCTAGTTCGTTTAAGAAGTACACGGACCTGAAACAACAGAACCAGTTCGACGACATGGAGGCTGGCGGAGATGCAAGCGGGGAGGGCGTCAATCTGGATAAATTCTTTGAAGATGTGGAGAATGTCAAAGAAGATATGAGGAATGTGGAGAAGCTGTACAAGAGGTTACAGGAATCCAACGAAGAAAGTAAGACTGTCCACAACGCCAAGACCATGAAGGACCTCCGATCCCGGATGGATAAAGACGTAGAACAGGTTTTGAAACAGGTAAAGGTTATCAAGGGGAAGCTAGAAGCACTTGAACGCTCCAATGTTGCTAATAGGAGTGTTCCAGGGTGTGGACCTGGGTCCTCCGCCGATCGAACACGGACGTCTGTGGTTGCTGGGCTTGGGAAGAAGCTGAAAGATATGATGGATGATTTCCAGGGATTCAGAGCAAAGATGACTGCCGAGTACAAGGAGACAGTGGAGCGTAGATACTTCACCATCACCGGCGAGAAGGCAGATGAAGAGACGATCGAAAACTTGATATCAAGCGGGGAAAGTGAGACGTTCCTACAAAAAGCCATACAAGATCAAGGGAGGGGCCAAATCCTTGACACCATCTCAGAAATCCAAGAGCGCCATGATGCTGTAAAGGAGATCGAGAAGAACTTGATTGAACTCCATCAAGTGTTTCTAGACATGGCTGCCTTGGTGGAAGCCCAGGGGCAGCAGCTCAATGATATCGAGAGCCATGTTGCCCATGCCAACTCATTCGTTCGACGAGGGACTGAACAACTCACAGTTGCAAGGGAGTACCAAAAGAGCTCAAGGAAGTGGACGTGCATTGCCATTAATCTTGGTATACTTCTCGTCATCCTCCTCATCTTGCCATTGTTACCCACCATCATAACCCTTATGAAGTAGGAAATTAATATAAATAGACAGACAGACAGACAGAGATAGAGAGTAAGACAGAATGACCTGTTTGTTTTAATTTTGGAATTCGGTAAGCAGTCTGTCTCTTCTCTTCATCAGCTTCAGCTTCAGGGTTGGATAGTCCAATATAATCAGATCCTTTTAGGAATTTGGAAACATTTGTTAAATTTCCCTCGCAGAGGGAGCTTCTTCTTCAATGTACACCATGACATAACAGTCCAGCAACACATGTATATTACTTGTACAATGCTAAATGGGTATTTATATATTACATGTACAATGTTTAAACATCATATCGTAGCCCTTTGGAATTCATGATTAACCCTTGTGTATCTGTAATGGACCTGTTAAGTGCATGTTAACACCCCTGAGGCCCTATCACCAAGTACATGCCATGTCACTGTAATTGAAGATATACCATGATAATGATGATGATGATGATATTTAGATCCATGACATTCAAATTATCATAGCATATAGGGATGGATTCGAGCCGAGCCGAGTTCTGTTCGAGCCAAAACCTTGAGTTTGAGCTCGGCTCAAGTCAAAAATTCATAAGCTCGAGCTCGATTTTGAGAAAAAAATGTTTTATAAAAATAAAAAATTATATATAAAATATTTTTTATTTGATATTTAAAAAATTAAGAATTATAATAATTAATAATTATAATATTTTTATTATATATATATATATATGTTCGAGCCGGCTCACGAGCCTCACAAGCCGATCTCTAATAGGCTCGAGCTCGGCTCGTTGCCACCCTCAATAGCATATCCGGTTATATCTGACCTGGTATCCTACATGTACGTAATACAAACAGAGGGGTAATTACATTATATATATATCAAATATATTTAATAATAGGTATTAATGTAATCATATGTGTATACTTAACATTATTGTTATACATTACAAACAGTTAATTGTGCAGCTAGCCAGCTCTGATGGTGGGTCATTGGTAGAATGCCGGGTTGTTTGTAGGGATGACCTAGCATCATATCATCTGCCACTAGCATTATATAGTTCCATGAAGGAAAAAAAAGGTTATTCATTTATTTATTTACTTTTGTAATTAATAAGAAAATATATAAATTCTTGTACTTTAATATTATTAGAGATTAAATTCATTGGGTATTTGATTGATTAATTACATAATTTAGGACATGCATACTTGCACTTTGAAAACTAATTTTAAAGTTAGTAGCAAAATTCCTTGTTTTAACTTATTTCCTATGTTTTTAAGCATTATCCCACATTGGAAAATTATTAAACTTAACTTGAGCTTTTCAGTAAGAGCTCGTTTACAAGCTTTAAAATTATAGAAAGGAGACTTTTAAGACTTGCTACCACTCAACATACGTGCACGCACGCACGTGTACAATGCTTTAGAGGCACACTTTGCTCATGTGAAGTGATTATAATTTTAGTTCGATGTGAAGATTTGTGATATATAAAATTGTAGACAACGATTTTGCGAAATTGCAAATTGCAAATAGATGGCTTCGTAGAATCACAGATCGTAGGTGGCAGACTTTGCAAAATTAATAGTCACGCACATTAATTGGGCAAAATTGCAAATCAAAATTTATGTCACTTATGGAATAGCAAAATCGTAAATTGTGACATGCGATTCTCAATTAGTGACTCGGGAAAACCGCATCTGATTTGAACCACACATAAGGGTGTGTTTAGTTTTGAAGGCTGAACCATGATAGTTGGCATTTTATATTAATCCAACAGTCATGACTTGATCGAATGTGATCAAGGAACATTTTTCAAACATTAATGATCTCTAACTATTAACTGACCTTGAAAAGTCACAAAGTTTGAAATTGTGACTATACAAAGAGCCTCCTCGAAACAACACATTCTCCTTTGTGATGATTCTCTAGAACTTATATAAAAGGTATAAATCAAGCCGATACACAAAAGTTTTCAATCACTTTTCATGTCAAACACACTTATCTCTCTCAGTCTAATCTTCTATTATCTTACAAAAGTTTTCTTCAGAGATTCTTCAACTTTGTTGGTTGCAGTTTCTCAACCAAAACTTTGTTGTATCTTGAAAACAAATTTATCTATAACCCAATAGCAAACTTAGTAAAACTAAATGGGGGCAAATAACATTCTAAAGACAATGTCTCTAGATGCACCTTAAAGCTTCTTCTCCAAATTTTCATGACCCCATTTCCCAACATAAACCTTTGAAAAATGTTTACATCCAAACCATTGAGGTTTAACTAAAAAGACATCTGCACTCCTCTTACATGTATTTTCTATATTATGAGTTAGTGTATCTTGCTCCCTCTTTACAGAGTATATGTTACAAGTGTCAAAACCCTTTTGAAGATCTCTGTCCACATCCTTATATATTCATCTTCTTGGCCTAGTTGCAATACACCTATTTATCATATTAAATGATGGAAGAGTGGCCATAGGCCCTCGCTTAATCCTCGTAATGTTAGAAAATCCAATGCTATGTGATAAGCCACAGGTTGAAGGAAGATGGTTATCTTTGTGCTTCACTTTAATTAACATATACACAACCAATTATTATTATTATTATTATTATTATTATTATTATTATTATTATTATTATCTATTTTCTAAAAAATTCGGTAATGTGCTTCCTTGAAAAGGATTTTTCATGCAAAGAGAAGCCACTATTTATTGGGTTATATTGGATCCTCTTTCCAAGACAAAGGAAAACTATTTGGCTGGGTCTAGGTTGGATGATCAAGTGATGAGATCTTGGGCCAGTGAGACACTTGTCTCAATCTAGAGGGGTTATTGAGTACCTTTCTACCAACATACAAGTCAATTATGTTTCTTAATTATCTTAAAAATAGGGAAACAAATGTTGGGTTAAGCAATTATATAATGGTATTTCATATCTATACTATCTATAAAAGTGCAAATAGGCGTCCCTAGCTTCTGAAATTTTCATTGGACAACAAATGCCCCCTCCCTAAAGTTTGAATTTGACAATAATTAAAGGCAAATTGTTATTTTACATCTTCATTTAGTGTTTATTTGATAAAAGACATAAAAGTACTTTTTGTTCAATAATTGGAAAAGAAGGTACAACAAAAATGAAAATTTACATTTTTCATTCAATGTTTACCTATACTATTATTAAAAGTGTGGTTTGAAATTTTTACTTAACTAAATTACCCTAATTTTTAAATTTGGTCCTTGTCTAATTTTAAGGATAGAATGTAATTAGAAAAACCACTTTTCTCCTTATTCAAATCCCTCTCATTAAGTCTTATGTTTAAATTATTAACTCCCATTAACATTCCTTGAATCCTATTCTTCACTAGAATACCATATTTTTGAATTTGGTCCCTCCCATTAACATTCCTTGAACTACTATATTTCTCCTCATTCAATTCCCTCTCATTAAGTCTTCTTAGGGTATTAATTCCAATTATTTTATTGAATTCTATATTTAAGATGTTATTTTCACAAAATTAAAACAAATAAATTCTATCAATTAGACCTACATATTTTTAATTATATAAAATACATGTTTTTTAAAATTTACCCAAAAATGGAATCATTTTCCATCATGGTGGCAGGTAAGCAATTCAGCCATTCAGGTCAAGTGAGTTAATCCATGATGTCATAATTAAATAAAAAAGTTTAAAATATAAATATAGAAAAATTAGATACATCTCTAATGTTTTATATATGTTAATCATATTAAAGAAATATAAGTATGATAAACAATAATTATTCTCATTGATGTTGGAACAAAATATAAATTTAAAACCAATCCAAAAATAAAAATATTTTTTGTGGTGGGTGGTCAACAGTTCAACCTTTTTAGGTCAAATGTGTCAACCCTTGATTTCATAATTAAATAAAAAAAATTAAAAACTATAAAAAAAGATAGAAAGACACATCTCTAATATTTTATATTAATCATAATAAAAATTAGACATGATAAACAAAAATTGCTTTCAAATTTTTATTGATGATTTAAATAAAATACAAAATTCAACATTCCAGATCAAATGTGTCAACTTATGAAGTTATAATTAAATAATAAAATTTTAAAAAGATAAACATAAAAATATACAAAAACTATATAAATTATGTAGAAAATATTTGGGCATATCTCTATATTAATGAACCATAATATGTGTGACAAATAAAAAAAATCATAGATAGAAATATAAAATAATTATAGAAAATTTTGGAAGCATGTTATATATAGATATATAGCAGCACCATCATCATTAAATTTGTCACGTGCAAAGCACATATACGCATACTAGTGCTAGATTAAGATAACAGACTAGGAATAAAGGACAAGTAACTTCCCATAGCCGTCAGCCCAATTTGGATTGTATAGCTCTCTATTGCAAACTGCTCTATCTAGGATCCTTTGTTTGTTTGTTGCAAGTAAAGAATGCTCCATCCATTGCCAACTGTCGTAGGGAGTATCCAAATTTGATCCGTTCAACATTAACTATAATTTTTGCATCACAAAAAAGTAAAAATAAAACAGAAATAGCTATAGTCCCCATTCGTTTTTTAGGAAGATACTTACTCGGGTAAGTGCATTTACCCATATTCTTTGATTTCCTAAGTAAATAAGACGATTACTGTTTTATCCAAAAAAAGCAATTATTAAAAGGGGCAATTTTGTTTACTTACCCACCTAAGAGATGGATATCACTTACCTCAGTAAGTGATACATGGAGAAAATGAATTTTGTGTAAACTCCACATAAATCTAAAAAAAAGAATATGGATATCTCGGTTAATGAAAAGCAAAATCCCATTGGCCAAGTTTATTTCCCTATCTCAAAATTTGGAAAATGAATGTGCCCTCTCCTAGTTTCACGTAATCCTGTAATAATATCTTGCCATTCTGCATTAGATGGTTGATGATGAGCTTCAGCTTTGCACCCTACTGCTGCCATGACCCACCTTTTGTCTTTGATTAATACATTAACAATAGATGTCCGATTGAGTTGAGGTGAGTTTTTTTACCATTGATCGGGGCTCGGGGCAGGGATAGTATTTGTTCACTTTGCTTCGACCTTGGCCCCATATATTGTATTAATTATATTATATTATATTACATAAGAGTATCATAACTCCATCCTTTATTTGCCAAATGAATCACATTTCATTCATCTGTCCCCACCAAGAGGAATGGCATTGTTTTGGCTACTAACAAAAGATTGAAGCCTGTTGTAGATATTTTTCTATGACCACTTGAGCCTTAGCCTTTTAGAGACATTTAGCAATCTACATATCTGCTTGGTAAACAGAGTTTTATTCATTTCACTTAATTTCCTGAACCCCAACCCCCCCNATCTTTTTATTGCCTTGTATGGAAGGTTTTGCTTCTTGAGTTACCTTTTCCAAACATTTCTGTATCTTCTCAATTTCTGAAATGGGTTTCCTTGGTAGCATTGTTGAAGCCATTGTATATATTGGCATTGCTTGAGTCATAGATTTTTTCATGGTTGCTCTACAAGCTTGTGAAAGGAGAGGTTGGCTTTCCAAGTTTAACGTGGATGGTGCGATGCCAATTTTGTTTGTGGGCATTCGAATGACTTCTAGGATTAGAGTTTCCTTCATTTCCATTAAGGCCCCATTCGCTTTTCGGTAAGTTACTTACCCAGGTAAATGCAATTACCTGGGTAAGTTTTTCCTAGGGAACACTTACCCGGGTAAGTGCATTTACTCATGTTCTTTTAGTTCTTAGGTAAATAAGGTAATGACCATTTTACTCTTAAAAATTCATTATTAAAAGGGGCATTTTTGTCCCATTCAAGTGTTTGCAACTTCCCCATAGGTAGGAAAGTTATTTACCCACGTAGGAGATGGGTATCACTAAGGGTGTCAATGGACCGGTTTTGGATTGGACCCCATCCAATCCAAAATCAATTTGGACAGATAGGACAGACCAACAAGATATATTGGATTGGATCAATCCATTCCAAATATTTCTTAGATTGGATTGGACCTGGTCCGTCCATAATAAATTTATATTGGATTGGGTTGGACTAAGCCAATATCTGGTCCATTGATATAAGATAAGAATATAGGTGTCAAAGGACCGGGTTTGGGTTGAAACCAATCTAAAATCAAAACGAATTTGAACAGATTGGACAGTCCAGACATTGAATTGGACCAGTCCAAATTGGTACAAAATATTCATTGGATTGGATTGGTCCTGGTCCATTTATAATGGACTTACATTGGACTTGATCGGATTGGACCAAATCCAATTCAATTGGCACCCCTAAGTATGGCTTTCTTGGATAAGTGATACTTAGGAAAATAAACTTTCCCTGATCTCCACACAAAATTCCATTGACCAACTTTCCCCCTCTCAATTCCTATTGACCAACTTTCCCCCTCTCAAAATTTAAAAAAGGAACACCCCCTAAGGGAGATGCTCAAAAGATTACTAATGTCTTGTTGGATAATCACCTTAAGATCCCCTGGTAAATTCATACTATTATCCCGATTGCAACAGTCTTTTGCAAGCTTTTCAGAAAGTTATTTTATCCCGTATTCTACGCAGGCACAGGAATAGGGTGGCCCATGCTATAGCTCGCTTTGCTTGTAATGTAAATGGAACCACCAGTTGGTCTTTATCTCCTAACTCTATCTAGCCTGTACTCTCGGATGATTTAATGCAATAAATCTGTCTAAGGGCTTTTTTCAACATAAAAAAAAGTCTCTGAATCCTGCCTTCTCCAGGGTTGGGGGGATAAGGGTTAGCATACAGGCAACCCCCATTGGAGGATTACCTACATCTATGATCTATCTACATGAGTTAATCCAGCTTCTCTCATGTGGGTAGACAAAGTGGCTGATGCAAACAATCTACCAAGGGGACCCTTCGGATAAGCTACTTTTTCTAATCCACAAATCAGGTCTTTATACACCATCACCATCTACTGTACGTTGATTTGCCAAGTGACGGTGGCTCAGTTGGTAGGATCTCTAACTCATGGGCTTTGTGTAGCTCTTTTAAGCAAAAAAGATAGTTAGCAACAGATTTTTAGAATAAATCCCATATGTTCCTCAATTGAATCGCTATAGAACCTCAGCCTAGTTGGATTTTTACTTTTTCAAGTGTTACAAAACTATAAAAGATTCGATATAATAGAAATGGACAGAGTAGAGAAACTTAAATGGCAATTAAGCAGGATAAAAAGAAATTTCTCACCTCTCTTTTTGAACTATGATTAGTCCCTCAACCCTAGAACAAGATTTGCTCAAGTGGATCTCACAATCATGCCTAAGGTTCCAAATATGGGTAGCACAAAAAGTATCACAAATGCAACTATATATCTAAGAGTGGGGTTTAAGGAAAGAGAAACAAGTATCACATTCACATTGGGCGTTCCCTTGCCCAATGTGTATGATTTTGAGTGGGTTAAGGAAAGAGAAACAAAAAGGAGAAATAGAAGAGGTTTTTCTCTTTGAGGCTACAGTGGCGAAAAAGTGAAGAAAAGAAGGGATTTTGGAGGTAGAATAAGACAAGACCTAGCTCCTTCTGTAAGAGGTGCTTTTCTTTTAATTCCTTGGATTTGTGTGTGAACATCAAACAAGAACAGTTCTACACATATGGTGAAATTTCATCATCTTTCCTCTTGCAACTCGCTTGTCAGTGAAGTTGGTGGTGTAACCCAGGAGAGCATATATCTTTTTATATAAATATCTAGTTGTTGCTACAGAGACTATTATAATCCATTATTATCATTGATAGTGGAAGAATTTAACTGCAATTTTACCGTCTCATTTTGGTATTTTTCACTTAGGGGATACATTCTTTTTTTTTTTTCTTTGGATTTTGAGAGGGGGGAAGTTGGTCGATAGGATTTTGATTCCCATTGACCAATAAACCCATGCTCATTTTTTAGATTTATGTGGGACCAATGAAAGTTTATTTTCCTGTGTATCACTTACCAGCGTAAGTGATACTCATTTCCTAGGTGGGTAAATTAACTTTTCCATTTAGGGAAAAGTTGCAAATATTTGGATGAGACAAAAATACCCCTTTTGATAATAGAATTTTTATGACTAACATGGTCATTGCCTTATTTACATGGGAAATAAAAGAATATGGATAAATGCATTTACCCAGATAAGTCTTTCCTAGAAAACACTTACCCAGATAAGTACATTTAGCTAGAGAAGTGACTTACCAAAAAGCGAACAGGGCATTAATAAATCTTTGGTGTCTTTTGTTATTAACTTATTATTGTGTTTGTTAATTAATTTATCTAATTGAACATACTGATCTATTATCTCTACTTTACACTTGTTACATTTATTTGCACATTGACAACAAAAGGGTGTTACTGTTATTATTGTGTTTGTTAATTTATTTATCTAATTGAACATATTGATCTATTATCTCTACTTTACACTTCTTACAGTTAGACAACAAAAGGGTGTTACTGTTAACCCCCAGGCCCCAACTATAGTTGCCATCATTTATTACAATCCTCACCAGCTAGCTTAGATGCCTGAAACAGACAATGAATTGAGTTCATCCCAGGAAAAGCTAGGCTGATCACCTCATTCCACAAGACAAGAGGTTGGGCTGGGTCATCCTTTGTAGAGTTGGAAGTTCTAAAATGGATGCCGACAGTTGTATATAATATATCTAGGTAGAACTAGTCCAACCATTCCAAATCATATAATAACATAATTAATTTTTAAATAATTAACTAGTATAAATATATATGGAGTAGTTAAAAGAACGAGTCTTTAAGCGGATAAGGAGCTGCTGCTGACAAAGCAATGCTCACCTACCTAGCCTGCTGCCTGCCATTGTTCAGTAAGTCAAGTCGTCTATGAACAGCTATATATGTATTTCACTCAACAACCCACTCAAAACTAAGTCTATAAATAGATCGAGTATGCACTCCATCACTCAGTGTAGCCAAGTTAAGTCCAACTTCCATCACAACCAAGCTCCAAGCTAGTTTGATTTATTCTTCCCCATCGCTCGCGGCAGAAAATGGTTAAAGGCAGTATCACCGAGGAGTACGTTTCCAAGGTCTCTGTGGAGAGGCTATGGAAGGCAAGCATTTGCGATGCACACAACCTCATGCCCAAAGTTGTTCCTGGCCACATCAAAAGCATCGAGCTCCTTGAAGGAGATGGTGGCGTCGGCACTGTCAAGCATTTCCACTTTACCGACGGTTTGTTATATAATAATTTACTCCACTTGAATTTGATGAAGTCTAGCTAGTCAAATTTAGTGCTGTTTTGATCTAATTTAACTGTTGTATTAAAGTTTATTAATCGATCATCATGGATATATCTTGTAATCTTGATCTGGGTTCAACTATAATCAACAGTGTATAACTAGATCTTAATTATCTCTACACGTAAAGCAACAATTAAATGAACCAAGTAAACTTCTGATCATCGAGTGTGTGTGTGTGTGTTGGTTGCAGTTATGAAGGATTTTGAGTATCTCAAGGATCGCGTAGATGTGATAGACCACGCCAATCATGTATTCAAATCCTCTATCATTGAAGGAGGTCTTGTTGGTCTCAAAGTGAAGTCTTACACTTCTGAGATTGCCCTCCATCCTACCAGCGACGGAGGCTGCGTAGCCCGAGTGAACATCGAGTATGAATCCATCAACGACAACTTGCTTTCTGATGAAGATGTTGCCAGGGTTAAGGAAGGGGTCATAGGGACCATGAAGGAGTTTGATGGCTACCTTTTGGCAAACCCAGAGGCATATGCCTAGAAGGTTCAATGAGTATGCTTCATATCAAAGTGATCAAAAAAAAAAAAAAAAAAGAATGTCAACCATGTATTGCTATTTCTTTTTAAGTTTTAATATGTATGCTTTACTATTGTGCTGAGTTGGTGACTTTAAGAAAATTTTCAAGTCTAAACAAAGTTCTTTTCTTTATTTAAAGAGTTAGGTGAGGAGCTGAGTGACTTGTCCAGGTCTCCAGATGAATTTGGATTCCCTTACCAAATTAATCCATTGAAAGGCCTAGCTTAGTCCTACATTTTAGCATGGTTTTCAAAACCGGACCCGACCGGACAGTCAGCCCGGAAAAACCGGGAACCGGTCAGGTGACCAGTTCCGGTTTTCCCCAAAACTGGATTTTTGTCAAAAATGTTGATTTGGTAAGCAAACCATTGACCCGGGCAGTTGAACCATTCGAACCGTTCAATGATTTTGACCATTTTTTTTTGTCAAAATGGATCGTCCATTCGGTTCGGATGGTCGGACCATTCAACCCAGGAACCAGACCCCTGATCGGCTCGTTGTCCGGGTTGGATTTAAAAACCTTGCATTTTAGTCATAATATCGTTAATCTTCTAGCCGGTTTGCCCTAACATCAGTTCAACTTCAACATGGTTCTTCCATTAGGACAGGTTTAAGATAAGATGGGCCACCCAATAAAGGGTCCAAGAGAAGCAACCCCATGTCAAAACGCCCACAGAAAGATTAAAAAAAAAACACAAAAAAAGGTGAAAAAGAACAATGAGAAAGAAAATAGCAAATGAACGGGAAGATACGACAGAAGAAAATGATATCAGAGAGAACGAAGAGAACAAAAGGAAAGAGAGAACAGAAAACGAAAGGAGAATAGAGAGAACAAAATAACAGAAAGAAAGTAGGGGAGAAAAGAAGAACAGAGAGAACAAAAGAAGAACATGGATAACAAAAGAACAGAGAGAACAAAAGAAGAACATGGATAACAAAAGAACAGAGAGAAAGGGGACTCCCCGAAGGGAACCACCCCAGAGGAAAACTCTTAAGGCGAAAAATGAACAACAAACAAAGAGAACAAAAGCCTCAAGAAAACTTGAGAGAAAGCCTCTCTCGAAACAGAGAAAAAGTATAAATTCTAATTTCATTCTCCTTAACACAACCATACACAATTTCTTCTATTTGTTCAATGGCTCTTTTCACGAAAATGAGGCCATCCGTCACAAACCACCGATTCCAATTGTGAGACTCAGAGGAGACATTACACATCGCAAGGCCAATGCTAGTAATGTGAAAATTTACGACACCAGAACCCCTTCCCCCTTTTATTGCCTGCCACTTTATAACCTCAGCTTCAATGAAACGAGAGGCTGAGGCTTTTCTATGCTATATGTTTCACACAGGCTAATATAATCCTAACTAAAATGTCAAAACATCCTCTAGTCACATCAATGCAAAGGGTCCACTGTGACGTATGGCTAAGCAAGCATGAAAAGCAGGTTTTGCCTCGTTCATTTTCATTAATCTAGATAAGTGCACTTATCCAACACGCCTGAGTAAACAAGCTTTCCGCATTGATAATGCTATACATTTACATAGGTAGAGCCGTAGAGGGAGTAGAGTGTTTACCGACACCGTGAACCGAGCGGGTGAGTATTTTTACCCTCAAGAGCGTGGGATCTCTAGTATAGCGGAAACCACCCAGCAACCAGCATGGAAGAAAATCAATTAAACTGTACAGCATATCTACTTTTGTCTCACTGACCAACAATCAGATCATATTACAACTTTCACATTTGATACAATTTTGGAAGCATATTATTTGGTTTTTTTTCTATAGCAACTTACACTGTTTGATGGCATGTCAATGTCTACATCTGCTCATCAGTCAAAATTTACAATTTTCCCGGGAATGCAACAAAAAGGTCTTCAAGCCGAAGACCCAACCGGCACCAGCTATAAGGTGAAGAATATAGCATCACCTGCCATGGCAGCACGAAACATTTTCCCTATTGGTTAATGTCTGGCCAGATATCAGTGGGCACCGTGAGCTTAGAACATGAGCAGAGATGCCGAAAACACAACCGCCCAAGTTGATTATCATATTGCCGAAGCATAAGTTGTGAAGGTTGACTGAGACCCAATTTCAAGAATTGTCACTTGGACACAAGAATGTGAAGTTGGAGGATCATAATAAGATTAATCAGGTAGAAACAGGTACCGAAAGCGAGAATCAAAGGGCAGGATGCCACAATTACGGGAGCCAAGGAAGCTCTGCCGCCTATGTGACATGCATTGTTCCACAAAAGCAGCCTGGTTTGGTGGAAGGTAGCGACATATCCAGACGGCTAAATTGGAATCATCAACAAAGCCCCTGGCAAAGCAGTGCAGCATCTTTGGAACCAGGAGCTTCCCTTTACTACTCACCCCTACCGACGCTCGAATGAAATCACGCTGAGCTTCTTTTAGCTCCTCTTTGACATTCTTGGCAGTATATATTCTTACCTGCATTGCCAATCATGTTTCATTTAAGATAAAAAACAGGAACTGAATTTTTACTGTAGAAATTAGGTCATAGTTGCCCACAGGCATGTTCATGGGCTGGGCTCAGGCAGAGCTTTTGCCAAATTTAAATGGGCCGGCCTTTAAGGCCAAACCTGAACAACCGTAAAATGTTCATAGGTCGAACCTGAAGCCCATCCCAGCCCATGAACAGGTCTACTTGTCAAGACAATGCCTGGGCAAATGGGGTTCCTTGTACCACACTTCGGTGTTTTCATAGGGGAAAGGTTTAAATTTTCATCACATACCAAGGTGTATATCAGGTGTGTTGTATCATACCGGGCCCGCCCCAATATGCAAAATATTAAATATTTTAAAATTTTAATATAACTAAGGGGTAGGCCTTGTTTAGACCAGCCCCTGTAGAATTTTGGAAAAGAAAAAAACAAAGCTAAAATAAAGGGAGTGTGGTCAAACCCCAATATGCACATCTGGCATATCAGGGTGTATCTTCAGAAAGTCTATTAGCTCATTGCTTAGAGTATTGTGTCATTAACTGAACGCTGTGACCTTGTATATTCAAGTCTTACATCAGCTAAACTAAACACTTAAAGCATCAGAGGTACAACCAACAATATGTTAAATTACATATTCAACATCAAATTCAAGCTATGTTCGTTGAGAAATAGCAGCAGGCATAGGATAACCCCACAATAGCCCTTACCTGTGAACCTCATCAGGGGGAATGCCTTATAAAACACAATGTAAAGGGCATCTTAAAAAAACAACTTGGAGAGACAAAATGTTTTTGGACAAACTACGAAGTCAATGGTATATACATTGCTATAGGGCTTCAAGTATAGCATTCATGTATTCTTCACAAGACCCATTTCATTATATCTCAATTTCCATGAGCAAAAACAAAGAATCATCCTTCTCTATGGCAAGTTGGGGGCTTTACCCCTTCACTTTTTCCTTCTTTTAAATCCTCCATAATCATTATTTTATCAAAAGCAGAAAGAATGATTTCAACAAGGAAAAAAAAGAGTACAAAATTTAAGACCATATCCGGTCTACCCCTCCCAAGACTGGGCTGGGAGCCTGAAACAAACATTGGGCAATGGGCTTTCTTCAAAAGAGAGTACAAACAGTACAAGAAAAGCAGTTTCTATACTACTAGCAGACAGCATCTGCAACAAGCCATATCCCATATATACAGTTTACCTACCCCCAGGGGCTTCCTAATTCATCACCTTTTTATAGAAAGAGACAGCAATTGAGATCAGTGACCCATGAATCCAACTGAATGAAGAATTCTTCCAAGATCTCAAGAAGTTTGTCTCTCTAATGGCATGGAGATGCAGCCATGGTTCAAAGTATCAATATGCAGAAACTGTGGATCGGGTGTTTCAAACTAAAAAAAATACTTGGATTGACAGAAAAAAAAATCAGAGTTCAAGAATTGAATCAGGACATCTTCAGGAGGGGTATTTATTAATCTGTAAAAGTGTCCAGATGTCCTCACTCCTATTTATTGTATCGTCACCCAAAGAAATGACACGATAAGCTATCGGGTGTATCATATCAATACTTCGAACCTTGGATGCTGCCAATGACTAGAGAGTTCCACAGAAATTCATTCTTCATTAAAATCTTAAAATGAAAGGATTACAACTAGTTGATGGAGAAAGAAGAACTTCATCTCTAATTTGGAAGTTGATGGAGCAGTGTTGTCACACCCGACAGAAATTGAAGAGGCTCAAGTAAACCACTTCAAATCTATTTTTAGGAGGCCTATGAATGAGAGAGTGTGGTTGGAGGAATTGGATTGGCCGACTCTAAGTGCAGAAAAGAGATAGTGGTTAGAAAAAAATTTTGATATGGAGGAGATAAAGGAAGTAGTATTCTCAATGGATAGGACAAAAGCTCCTGGTCCAGATGGTTTCACAATGGCCTTCTACCAGGACTGCTGGGATATTTTGGAGAATGATCTTAGATCAGTTTTTGAAGAGTTCCACAGAAGGGGAGTAATAAATCCGGGCTTGAACTCAACTTTCATTGCTTTGGTCCCAAAGAAGAAAGATGCATCACAACCAAAGGATTTTAGACCTATCAGTCCGGTGACTAGCTTGTACAAAATCATTGCAAAGGTGCTGTCTCTCAGGATAAAGAAGGTGTTTCCCTCTATTATTGCACCCAACCAAGGTGTTTTGTGGAGGGAAGACAGATCACCAATCAGATTCTCATTGCAAATGAGAGCTTGGAGAGCTTTAGGAAATCAAAGAAGAATGGAGTGGTTTGCAAATTGGATTTGCAGAAGGCTTATGACTTGGTTGATTGGTCTTTCTTGATGGAGGTGTTGAGGAGTTTTGGTTTTGAAGACAGGTGGTGTAAGTGGATTTGGGGTAGTGTTAGGACCTGTCATTATTCTATCCTGGTGAACGGGACTGTGGTTGACTTCTTTCCTGTGTTGAGAGGTCTAAGACAAGGAGATCCTCTTTCCCCTTTTCTTTACACCCTGATTGTTGATGTGCTTGGGACATTGATCCATAGAGCAGACTCGAGGAATTTGATAAGAGGGTGGAGAGTAGGAAGGGAGGAGGTTCCCTTAACACTTCTACAGTTTGCAGATGATACTATCATGTTCTGTGAAGGAGGGAACTTCAATTGGATCCAGAATCTAAAGTTGACAATACAACTCTTTGCAGATATCTAACCCCAAGGTGAACTTTGATAAGAGTTGTGTAGCAGGAGTGAATGAGAATGAAAGGGACCTAAGGGGATTTGCAGGTGAGCTAGGTTGTGCAATTTCGTACTAGCCCCTGACATACTTGGGCTTCCCTTTAGGAGATAATCCTAAGAGTGTTAGCTTTTGGACTCCGGTAATGGAGAGGTTTGAGAAGAGGCTGGCAGCCTGGAAGAGAAATTATCTTTCTTTAGGTGGGAGAGTCACTCTCATAAGGTCTACCCTAGCTAACCTTCCTTTCTAATATCTGTCGGTGTTTAAAGGTTGCCAATCTTTTGGAAAATTTAACAAGAAACTTTCTGTGGGAGCTTGGAGAGGAGAAGAGAGATCGCAGGGTGAGTTGGGAAGTGGTCACTAGGTGTAAAAAACTAGGAGGTCTTGGGATCGGTTATTTCAAGAAAAGGAATATGGCTCTGTGGGGAAATGGTTGTGGAGGTTTTCATTGGAAAGGGATAAATTGTGAACTAAGATTGTGGCTAGCATACATGGGCTGGAAGACAATGGTTGAGATCCTAGAATCTTCTTCCGAAGGACCAGTTTCCTTCCTTGTATGCTCTATCAAACATGAAAAATGAATCCACATCTTCTTTCTTGGTCCCTTCAGCCTCCACTTCTGGCTTTCGGTGGAACCTAGGCTTGCGTAGGGCAATTAGGGATACAGACATGGATAGCTTGGTAACTTTGCTAGCCTCCCTTGAGATTGTCTTCCTAAACCCTACTAAGGAAGACACCAGATTTTTTACCCCTTCTAGCTCTAGTACCCTTTCTTGTGCTTCATTCTTTGAAACCTTAACTCAACCTCCCATCCCCTTTGGGTTGTCCTTTCCAACTAAGGAAATTTGGAGCAGGCATATTCCTCCTCAGGTTGGTTTTTTGTTGGGAAATTTTCCTGGAAAGAATCAACACTTTAGACTTCAGAGAAAGAGACCCAACTATTGTCTACTTCATAATAGATGTGCTCTTTGTAAAACTTATGGGGAATCTAGCTACCACCTCATGGTCTCTTGTAAGGCTGCTAAAACTGTACGGGAATGAGTTTTCTCCCACTTCGGAGACTGTCCAAGGTTTCTTTCTCCTTCTTTTTTCAATTGGCCTAAGAAACGAGGGAAGACTATGTGGAAGTGTATTAGGCCAGCGGTATGCTGGTCATTGTGGGAAGAAAGAAACTCATGTATTTTTTCCAACAAGGAAAGAACATTGGAAGAATTGTTAGATCGAATCCTTTTAAGGGTTGTCCACTGGCTAAAATCTTTGGAGTTGTTTTCAGATTTTCCTGTGGATAACTTGCTAAGAAACTTGAAAGAGATTGCTTCCATCGCTAGATGCAAGAGGACACTTTGTCCGTTTTGGTCCCCTCCCCCCTCGGGCTTTATAAAGCTGAATTTTGATGGCAGCAGTGTAAGGAATCCAAGGCCCTCTGGGATTTGAAGAGTTTTCAGGAATGAGGAAGGGATTGTTATTGCTTTATTCTCTGGCCCTATTGGAGAAAGTGACTCTATTAGGGCTGAGATCCTTGCAGTGCTTGAAGGAATTCGAAGAGCAAAGGAATTAAATACCAGCCGTTTGATCCTAGAAGGTGATTCGAAGGTAGTGGTTAGTTGGTTGAAGACAGAGGATAGTGGTTTGTGGAACTTTAACAATGAAAAAAAAAACTGCTCTTATGGGTGGGTAGGGACATTGAGATTCAGTACAGCTGGGTGAAGAAGAGTGCCAACTCATTTGCGGATGGGTTGGCCAAGCAAGGAGTGAATAGGGAGTCTGTATTTTGGGCTAGTTTTTAATCTTTTCTCTCTGTACTCCCTTTGTTTTCTGTTTTTGCGGAGCTAAGATATTTTATCTCCCCTCTTGTATCCATATTCCCTCTTTTCTTTTAATTTAATGAAGCTGGTGTTATTGATCAAAAAAAAAAAAGGATTACAACTAGTTGTGAAAATCTGGTAAAGCCCATTAGAAAACAGACCCACCTAAACTGTATTACAATTGAGTCCAATACATACGCTATCTTTGAACCCCTTGCTTAGCTAAGTCATCTGCCAAACTGTTAGTAGATCTCTTAACCCGTTTTACTTGAATATCATGTCTCTTGACAGCCATTTGAAGCACCTGATTTCATATATAAACTGCCAAATCACCAAATCACCTTTCTTCAACCACCCCACTACTAGCTTTGAAACACCTTCAACGATCAATCTATCAACTCCCAATCCTTTAGCTATCTTTACCCCAAAAACTGCTGCTAAAAATTCAGCTCTTAATCACCTTGCTCAATTAGGCCCAAGCAAGTACAAAGCACATATAATGTCACTCTCATCCCTTACCACCCCTATGACTCATGAGGGACCCGGATTGCCCACATACTGCCATCAGTTTAATGTCATCCAACTACCCATTGGGGAGTGACCACAACTCTAGGGTTTTTTTTGTTCCCTAGATGTGAAGCCAACTATTGCCCCCCCAATTCCTGAAGAAATCTTCCACCTTAAAGTATGAAAAGAGTTTCAAGGTTATCCAATGTGCCAATCTTAGGGTTATGAGTTTTATCATTGTCTCCTTACTCCACTCCTCCCTGAAAATTCTTGCTTCTTTCTTCTCACACTGTCCAAATCATTGCTGCCTTTGTGCATTCCACAAAATCCTTCCCCTTCTTTTTGTACTTCTCAAAACAGTATAGTTTAACAACAGATTTTTGGCTCTGACAACCCCTATACTTTATGAAAAGGCCACTTTCGCCCTTTAATAATCCAAGTGGCCAATTTAGACCTCAGACTAAGTTGAAAAGGCCACCGTTAGCCCAAAAAGTTAGTGACACCATTCACAATCCATTAAATAATAAATAAAATAATAGGAAATGCTGATATTGTACTATTAAACTCAAAAAACTGAAAAATTGCAAGTGGGTCCCACTGAGTAAAATAAAAACTATTTAATGTATAACCAATAAATGTTGAAAATAATATATAAGTGGGTCCCACTTGAAAATATAGTGGGTCCTACTTGAACTTTTCAGTTTCAGATGGCACAGTCTTGCCAGGATAGGATGTCGTGCAAAGAAGGATCTTGGAAAGATCTTTTGCAGGTATTTTTTTTACTCTGGTTTCTTATCGTTGTTCTTGGATTTACTCTAAATTATGATTTTGTTTCTATTCAAGGCATTGATGGTTCTCTTTCCGTCTCCTTCTAGATTAACTCTGTCGTCTTAGCGCTTTGAATCCTATGCTCTGATTAACTTTCTTCCCTGTTTTCATGCTTCTTAAATTACTTTTTTAATTTCCTTTCCGGGGTGGCAAAATTAAATGCCGAAATCTTGGAGACTATTTCGAATTTCTTTAAACTAATTATCAGAAAAGGCATTTTTTCTTCATTTGTTCTGTTTTGGCCATGGGGTGATTTGGTTCCTATTTGTATGAACAGTGAACACAAATTTCTTGAATTTTTGTCGAGAACAAGTTTTTGGGGAATGATGTAGACAATTTTCTTTTTATCAAAACAATAAGGAAATTGAGCATGCAGAATTGTTTGATAACATTACATAAATACCATGACACAAGTAATGGGTATTTCTTGGGTCATATTCATCTCTAGGATTCTCTTCCTGGATCGCGGCAGCTCTGCAAAGGTTGTAACAATCAATGCCCACACAACTAAGGATCTCCGTTCTGGCCATTGTTATCTAGACGTCAAGTTGGTTGCTCGGAACGGCCTTTTTTTCTCGTTTTCCTTGGAAAACTTGTTTGATATTTTCACGGGCTTATTTTATTTTCCAGTCTTTCTACTTTTCTCTTTTTCAATGTTGAGGGCTTCGTTGTCTATATTAATAGGACAACAGAGTTCACACGGAAATTATATGATGCCTCCACCAACGTGGTGCTTGGAAGAGACATTTTATGGCTTTGCCTCAAGCCCAGCTTCGATGCTGCATTCGCGATGGGTGTTAACCACCACTACTGAGAGTTGCAAAAGCAGTGGTAGGTGGAAAGGAGGGAGAATACAAGGGAGGGAAAAAGCACTAACCTTTGGGGGAATAGGGAAACATCAAATTTCTTTTACGAGGAGGGGGAAGAGGAAATTGCTACAAGGTATTAAGAGACCAAACACGATTATCTCCCCCCTCCTCTTCAAAGACTACAGAACCAAAAATGCTCATCAAACTAGACAAACAAGATTTTTAACTTTCTAAGATTCTTAGTGAAGCCCAAGTTCCAATTCGACTCTAAAGGTGAAGGATGAAAATTTACAAAAATTGGAAATAGGTCTTTCTTTGAGATTGGAAAAAACAAACAAAAAGCGAAAAAAACATCTTTAAAAGGGGATTCCCCTATCCAAACATCTTCCCAAAACCTTATCTTTTGACCAGAAGCCAAATTATACCTCACTTGATTAAGGAAGAAGTGAAGGATACTTGTATAGTGCAGCAAGAGTAGCTTTATGCATACCACCAGCATCCCATCCATTTCTTGAAGGCCTATGAATACTAGCCACAACTTTTCATTTTCCACAAGAAAACACCAAATCCACTTGCTCAAAAGAGCCAAGTTTCTCATACTCACATTGCCAATTCCTAACCTCCTGCTTTCCTTTTAATCACCTTTTCGCACATCACTAAATGATCTTTTTTTCCTCCCCACGACTCCCATAGAAAGTCCTTCATGACCTTTTCAATCCCTTTCACAACTACCCAAGGCATTCTGAAGACTAACATGAAATAGACTAGGAGGTTAGCTAAAGTGGATTTAAGCAAAGTAATTCTCCCACCCAAAGAGATAAAGTCCTTTTTTTCCATATTGCTGGCCTCCTCTCAATTCTTGCCACCACTGGATTCAAAAACCTAGCCAATACAAAGAGGTAACCCTAAATATCTTAGCTCCCCATTCTCACACCCCAAAGTCTCCACCATAGCACTCAAATCCTCTTCTTCCAGACTGATACCTACCACCACACTCTTGTTCCAGTTTATGCTTAGGTTGGACATTCTCTCAAAGAAACTAACCACCAACTTTTAAGTTTTCAACCCCATCCCTTTTTTTCTTTTCGTAATGTCAACCCCATCTCTATTCTCCCCATCACAAAAGATCAAGATTTTTTTTTTTGAAAAAGGTAAGGTAAAATATCAATATATCATCTACAAAAATGTAGGTGAGTTACAAATAGTCTACATCTTCGTACTGACCAGCTTTGACAACTACAGGCTATCAATTCTTGATATCAACCTGCAAAGAACTTCAGCTACCAATGTAAAATGAAAGGGTGAGATCATATCACCTTGTCTAAGGTGGTAGGCCTCCAATCCCCCCAAAGAAACCTACCACCGACTCATTAACAATGACTAAGAAATGACTTGTTTGCAAGAAACCTCTAATCCACTTGCACCACAACTCACCAAATCCATAACTCCTCAAGATGTTAATTAGGAACTCCGAATCTGCTAGAACATAGGCTTTCTCCAAGCCCAACTTGATTGCTAGTCCCTTTTTCCTTAAACTTTGTTGAGCATCTACACATTCATTCATTAAAATCTGGTCTACAATCTGCCTATCTTGAATAAAAGCCTCTTGAGATTGGGAAATTAAAGAGAGCACATTTTTGATACTTAGGGACAACACCTTAGCAATTAACTTGTAAATGCTAGTCAATAAATTGATTGGCCTTAAATCTTTCGGGTGGCAACCATCACTTCTCTTTGCTACCAAAGCAATAAAGGTTGAGTCCATTCCCAGACTAATAATTCCCCTTCTATGAAATTCCTTTAACACGTTAGCCAAACCCACCTTCATTATGTCCCAAAATTCCTACTAAAAGGTCATTGTAAACTCATCAGGCCCAAAAGCCTTAAATCTGTACATCGCAAACACTGCTTCCTTAATTTCTTCCTCCTCAAACCTTCTTACCAAAAACTCCAATTAATGACCTCCCAACACATCCTAGTCAAGCCCTTTAAATGGCCATCTTTCTTTAAGTGGCCTTCCGTAAATTGAATCTATTCCAATCCTTATTTTTTTCCTTCAACCTTTGTAGCTTCTTCAGGAATCTTTGATCTTCTTGCTTTGGAGATTGGAAATGGGGACCCCACCATTATCTCACCTTTTATTTGAACTCCAAATAAGTAAGCCACATATTTTTAAATTTGAAAGGGGTAGTGCTCCGCTAGAATGAACAAATAGGTCAGTGACCAGTTATTTTTATACAAGGCAATTTCTAATTTAATAATTATGTATTTTCTTCTTCAGACATTGTTCCATTAAATCATTCATTTTGTGGGTTTATAATATTTTAATATACCATTCATCTTTTAGTATTTTCTTGTTTGTTAGAAGATCATTCATGTTCTAGATTGCATTATGTATTTAGGCACCTAGTGACCTAAATGAGAAGCTGCTACCTTGTCACCCAGCCTCAACTTGATGCCTTGACAACTACCACCTGTCCTGGCTGGCTAGGTTAAGTTCAAAAGTGAGAGATCTGTGCTTTACAAACTATATTGTGTAATAGTAAAAATGGCTGCTTGTAGAAAGAATTACCGCAGGTGAAGAGTACATCCCACAGCTTAGAGCAAATGCAACAAGGGGTTCAAACGTCTCAATTGAGAATTTCCGTTGCTCTTCTGATACCTTCAGTTTGTGAAGGGCAAGAAGTAATGCCTGTGACAACAAAACAAGCCTGAGATCAATCATCAACATCAAGAAAAAAATATAACAGAAAAATAAGTCAAACAGTGCCAGATAAAATGATTGCATACAGTTTGAGGCCTGTGAACTGGTGGCTTCATCTTCAAAATAACATACTCAATAGCAGCAGCACTAAAAGAATGTCCTCCTACTGTGTATGCAGCCTGAAAAGAACAGGTGACACCACGTTAGTTCATATGCTATGTCTTGTAAAATTCAAAATGAATAAGAAGTTATCCTTCTGCCAAACATTAACCAAACAGCCCATAGATATAACCCTTGACTCAACCAAGAACAAGAGAGTAAAAATTGTAAATTATTTCCATTCAATTGTTCAAAAATGTAAGTATAGCATCTTCACCCATGAAAAAACTATAAAAAAAAAGAAAGAAAAAAATAGAAGACTGACATTAGCATACAGAACAAAAATTCTTGTAGCCAAGTATTGATTATGACTGTCACCATAGGTCCTCAATGGTATCATTCCGTTCCACCCCTGCCCCATGCCCATGCTTTCAAATACTGATATAATATACCCTTTATTGAGAATATAGTGTCAATATTTTGAATCCTTCTTTGATTGATAACTTTTTTTTATCAATAACAATGGATTTCAATGATTAAAGAAACAGGATTACAAGGGAGAGATAACCACTCTTATTTCCCCAACAAAGAGATAAGACAAAACCAGTGTTTTAAAAGCGCAAGGCGCAAAAAAGGCGCAGGGGTCAATTTGCGCCCGAGGCACAAGGCACAAGGCGAGGTGCGTGCCTTTTTGAAGAAAGGCACAAAAATACAAAAAAAAAAACTAAAAAAATCAAAAAAAATGTCAGAAAATTCAAAAAATATTAAACATAAAATTAATAAAAAATATAAACATAAATTTAAAAAAAAAAATGTTTTAAAAAACCTATCATCTAAAATTAAAATACATAAACATAAGATGTAAAGCATATTCAGATGAGAATTTAAAAATAAAATCAAACATATAAAACATTTTCAAGCATGTAAAACCTCTTAGTGGGGAATTGTATGATGTATACTTAGTTCTTTAATCAATAAAATTATCATTTTCATTATCTATCAAAAAAACCTCTATTCTCTTTTTTCATTCAATTGCATTACTTCAAGTAGCTAATGTAATGTAAAACATATTACATTCCTGATTCTACGAGCCGCCTTTGTGCCACGCCCCTCAAAGCAAGCCCAAACAAGTCCACGTTAGGTCTTAAATTCTTAGTTTTCACACAAAAAAATAATGATTTTATAATTTTAATTGCTTTTTAAGAAGACATTTTATTAGGATGAATGAATGAACAACATAGACATTTTACCAAATAGGCCAACATAGACATTTTAAACCTTGTTCAAGAATTGGGGATGTATTTAGGAACACAGGAGCAATTTTGGCAATGTACCCTGGACCTACTGACCAAAGAAACATAGTCAAGGCTAATCTCACATAGTTCTCCAAGGATTAAAAGTTGGGAAGGAGCTCAACTAAAACAATTTAGTAGTGGAAGGGGAATCAAAGGTAGTTATTGTAATCTATGATCAATCACAAGAGACCAGGACCAAGGTTGTATAAGAAACATCTAAAGAGATGATTGTAATCTATGATCAATGCAAAGAATTAAGACACATATACATGTTTGACAAGAGGATTCCATCACCTTCACTTAATTATCAGCAATATCTCTATGGGGATCTATGGTTGGTGGGTTTTTAAGTAATTAAGGTGGAATAGACCATAGGAGGTTTCATATCAAAACATTTCATGTTATGCAATCTTTTACTTTCCCTAAGCTAAAACAAGCAAATGTGTTTAAACTTAAAAGGCAGCCAATGATGATTTGATGGTTTGTCAGGTTTAAGACCTATCAGGAAAGGGAAACTTCGTAGTTGTTAACATGAAGAACACAAATATTATAAAAAATGGCACTAAAAGTGCTAATCTGAAATCCATCAAGATTAACAATATTATAAGTTGAAGCAGAAATTTACTTCAGTTGAGATATCCCATTTCTAAATCCTAGTTAATTACCTATCCACTATTCAAAGTTCCTTCAGAACTTTTTTCGATTGTTAATAGATAACTTTATTATGGTAAAAGAATTGGATATATTTACAAGATTAACCATGTTCCAAGCAGCCCATAAGTTAAAAAGAATGCCATGTTTTTTTTCTAATTAGGCTGGCACATGCCCCACCCCTTGCCTTGACAGTTAATCCCCTCTAACAAAGTACACCAGTACACTTGATCATAAAAAGTACACCAATACATCTGTGTCCTATTCACCCCTTTACTGGTCATGGCATCAGCCAGCCAATTTGCTTATCTGTTAGAAAACAGTTGCAAGGCCAGCTACATAGGGATATCCGAATCTAATCCGATCCAATTCAAATTCTAAAAATTTTAATAAATTATTAAAAGATAAAGAAAAACATAACAGTTTATATAAAGAAAAAAAATATAAGTATTTTTTCAACTATTTTCATTATATATATATACATGTCTTTTTATAAAACATTTACAAAAATGCAATATAAACATATTTATAAATAAATATGCTAACAAATATATTAGTATATACATGCCTCTTTATATAAGTAAATATGTTTATAGATATATACATATAAATAGGTCAGATCGGATAGGAGTGATCCGAATCCGATCCAATTTTCAATTGGATCCTATCATCCGATCCGACAAAAATAGGACCAGAATTGGGTTAGATCAGGTCATGATCCGATCCATTTGCACCCTTACAGCTACATTGCATGGAGCAAAATATACCTATGGGTTGATCAATGAACCCACTCTAAAATTATACATGTATGTATGCATATATGTATGTATGTATATGCACAAACATGTATGAAATATGTATGTATATATGTAAATACATATCTATAAATATATGTATGAATGTTTATAGTCGGGCTGGGTTCAAGCCACCTAAGGGCGAGGCCCCATCCCAATACAAAAAATAATAAAGCTCGAATTCTTGGGCCCAAGCCTAGACCCAAGGATCGAAAATCCAAGCCAAGCCTGTGTAAAATTTTGAGCTGGGTCAATCGGGCTCGGGTTGGGCCCACCCAATTTGCACCCGTAGAATTCACCAATACTAGAAGCAAAAATTAAAATATCAATACGTATGATAACCAAAGTTGGGTATCGATGTGTATCGATATGACTCAATGATATAAAAGGTGCACCTCAGGCGTGCCTAGGCACATAGGCGAAGTGCATTTTAGGGTATGCGCCTCGCCCAGGTCCTAGGTGCACACCTGTGCGCCTTAGCTTAGGCATGTGCCTTTTTAAAATTTTGTGCTTTTTGCTTTTTTTGAGCCTAATGGCTTGGCCCCCCGACCACGCCCCTTGAGGCAAGCCCGAATAAGTCTATGTTAGAGTCTAAAATTCTTATTTCTCACATAAAAAAATTATGATTTTATAACTTTCATTGCCTTCGAGAACCCCCTATTTGCTAATGTTGTTCATTCATTCATTGCAATAAAATATCTTCTTAAAAGGCAATGAAAGTTATAAAATCATAACTTTTTATGTGAGAAATAAGAATTTCAAACCCTAACATAGACTTGTTTGGGCTTGCCTTGAGGGGCATAGTACAAAGGTGACTCATAGAATCAAGAATGCAATATGTTTTACATCACATTAGCTACTTGAAGCAATGCAATTAAGGAAAAAAAAAAGTGATTGTGGGTTTTACATGCTTGAAAATGCTATATATGTTTGCTTTTATTTTGAAATTTTCATTTGAATATGCTTTACATGTTATGTTTATGTATTTTAATTTTAGATAATAGGTTTTTTAAAACATTTATTTTAAAATTTAAGTTTATATTTTTTATTAACATTATGTTTAATATTTTTTGCACTTTTTATAATTTTTTGGCATTTTCTAAATTTTCCGACTTTTTTTTATTTTTTAGCTTTTTTTGTAGTTATGTGCATGGTTTTCAAAACCAGACCGAACCGAAAAACTGGGAACCGTTCAGGTAACCGGTTCCGTTTTACCCCAAAACCGTTATTTCACCAAAAAACGTTGAATTGGTCAACAAACTGCTAACTCGAAAGTTCAAACCGTCCAACGATTTTGGTCGTTTCCTTTAATTTTTTTTATTTTTTTGTCAGAACGGGTCGTCCGTTCAGTTCGAACGGTCAAACCGTTCGACCCGGGAACGGGACCCCTAACCTGTTCGTTGTCCGATTCGGTTTTAAAAACCTTGGTTTTGGGCCTTGCTAAAAAGGCATGCGCCTCACCTTACGCCTCAGACGAAATTGGCCCTTGCGTTTTTTTTGTGCCTTGTGCTTTTAGAACACTGATATGACTGGACCTGTTCATGGGCAGGCTTTGGGCCCAACATTAGATTGTTTTGGCCCGGGCCTTAAGTCGAGCCCATTCAAATTTGAGCAAAACCAAGTCCGAGCCAGCATATGAACTTTAGATATGACCAATACTCAGCTTTCTTATTTTTTATTTTTTTATTTTATAATCATTAAGGGATTAGGAAAGATACCTAAGACCTTTCAAATATTTAAAAAAGAACTTTGTATTGATGTATCTGTGTGTATCTAGATGCACCGATATGGCATATGGTAACAATATTTTAATCCTTGACTAGAAGTATCCCTAAGAAAGAATAACTCTACAGAAAAAGAGCAAGTGTAAATGTGTAATATGATAGAATCCAAACCTTTTGCGTCAATGAAAATAGCTTCAAGTCACTTCTAGGAACTCCATAAGCCAAGTAAGCCTGTCAAGCAATTACAAACATTTGAGATCAAAAAGTACAATTTTAAACATTCTCCCCATAGAATTATCTCATATTCATAGGCTGAACTTCTAGATTTCAAAACCTCATCTTGTACATTGGTCCAAAGTCTATACATAATAAGACACAACATACATGCATGATCAGTGCATTATATAAGTTGATCCAGAAAGCCAGCTTCTCGTCGCAGCTCAAGTGGATAGGATTCACTTTGGCCAGTTGCTCAACAAGTGATCTGCTCTCCAAACAGAAAACAATAATAATAACATTAACCAGCTCCAACAATTACAACAATCAAAGAATCAGTAAGAAACAAAGTTTCAAAAAAAAAAAGTCTAATAAGTATGACATACTTTACAGAAATATATAAAAGATTTTTTAAAAATATATAAATACGGAAGTAAAGTGCATAACACGAGCAAATAATCGCATAAACCAAAACTGCACAATTGTATTATTCAAGTTATAATATATATATATATATGGAAAGCAATGCATCATGTTAGTTTTACGAATAGAAAAGCAAACTGCAAGTTTTAGGTTCAATAAATAAGGTTATGAATAAACCAATGGAACTTCACTAGCTTGGCATTGGCCATCTGTTACCTCTTCTTTTTAATCAACAAATAGAAGTTTAGCATCCTCCAACAAAACAGAAAAGAAAAAGAAAGGAGAGGAAGCACATAATTTGAATACAATGTGTAGAATGTAAGAAAAAAAACATATATTTAATAATCCCATAATCTGGGGTTCTTTCTAGGGTTTGGGTTGGGTTGAGGGGGAGCAAAGAAGGGGAGAGGTACAACCACTTAGAGTTTGAAAGTGGAAAAAAAAATACAAAGAAGACAAACATTAAAACCACCTAATCCCAATGGCAGGACCCTCAAAATTACGAATTCCTTATAGGGCAGTCTAACCAGCCATAGAGTAAGTACCTGAATCTCCGCAATGCCCCAGCAGCATATTCCAGTTGCTTCTTACCAACTGACATCCAAGATACCTCAACAGCTAACCCATAGTTTCCAATGTCTGCCCAACTTAATTTTCCACGTACTCTATAGGGATCGCATACATTCTCTGTGGCCAAGACATCACCATCACTCTGCAGATCAACTTGTGGACTTTGAACAAATGATGACATTGTTGAACGTTCGGAAAATGACCATAATGATGAATTGGAAAAATGTCCATGTGGAGATAAAGGAGAGCATTGGCCCTCTAATGTAGATGGTTTGGATGATACAGTGGAAGAATCCGCAAGAGAGATGAAAATATTTTTCATACACCGAACCATCTCCTCTGACAACTGATTAGGGTGATTCCATAAGCCCTTAATTGGTACATCTTTTGTAAGCTTCCCAACAACTTCAGGATGAAGCATTTGTGTGGATGTTTTGTTATCTTGAAGGAGCATGCCAGAGTCTACAGCATTCTGATTATAGATATCAATTGTTAGCCAATTCAGAAAACCTTTAAGAAAAGGCTTCTTAATAGGTCCTTCACAATGATGTATAGCATACAATGAATAAGCAAGATAGTTTTAAATCATCAGATATCCAAAATGATGCATAGTAGTGCAGGCATAAATATAGAGAGTAAGGACAAAAAACTTGACATTGTACTAAGGAGATTTTTGTTGGTAACATCCACATGCATCAGTGGGGTCCAATAAAGGTCTCAGCACCCCAAGCAGAAACCCAATAATGCCCTGCAGCTTGATAAATTTGTCAATTATCAGTTATATTGGATTATTTGACTTTCTTTTATTCTAGGTATGTTTTAGTGTATGGCACCCAGATACCTTGTACCACAGTTGTCAAGGCACTAAGGTAACACAAGGTAACAGGGGAGTGTCTTGTTCAGTATCAACTCATTGTGTAACTTCTGCTCATGTTCAGTATCAACCATTGTGTTTGGGGTTAGCGAATAGAAAATCTGCTCAGGCTACCACTTGTGGTGGTTCCATTTTACATAGTGAACTTGAAGCCTGGGATGTGAAGAATACCACAAAGAAATTATCAAATTTAACACAACATCTGTGAATGCTATAATTGAATTATTGCAATCACCAACCCAATCAATGAGAAGAAAGCACTAGAACATGATTTCCAAGAAAATGCTTTAGGTATGGAACCATGGTCCGAAGTATCAATACTCTAGATATGCAAATGTTGTGCATCTAGAGCTTTTAACCATTGATACTATTTTTTTTATTATTCTTCAGTTTGACAAATTCACCTGTATATTGGGACACAAGTATGCATATCTAGACAGATATTAATGTTTAAACTTATTAAATAGTTATTAACTTCCATTATTTAACATTCTGGTGACCCTAAAAGAGATATGTATCATGAGATACATATCAATACTTTGAACCTTGTACAGAACTCCATGTATATTTCATTTATATAAAAGTGGTGAAAGGAAAAAAGTTTATGCAACTATACAGAGTTATCACATTCTTAAATTACTCATTGGAATTAACTGGAAAAATGGAAGTAAGCCCTGAATCAATAATATTTGCAATGTTTTGTCCTGGAGTTTTTTTATCATCTACAGAAATAAAAATGATAGCTATATCCATGAAGACCAAAGGAAAAGGAAAGAGAAAGCAATATACCACTGATGCCAAGCACATGTCAAAGGATCTGCAACTAGCTTCTGATGTTTGATCTCCTCGATCCTGGCATGAGAGTTCTTCAGTGCTTACATGCCGTTCAGATGTCAAATGCTTATTACAGCTGAAAGATGATGAACACTAGAACATAGAACAAAAAAACAATTTTACTGGAAGAAATAGAACAAGTGACAGAAAGTAAAAAATACCATTGTATACAAAATATCAAAAGTAAACACACGAGCGGTAAGACAAGATGCTATTTTAAGAATTAGTTGTTTGTTCTATACCGGGGATATACATAAAACCAACATACACATAAATACATAAAGAAGCATGACAGCTTCAAATTGAAAGATGTACATAGGCATGAATAATATAAAAAAAAATATCAAAATGCTAAGACAAGTACTATATTATAGTCATGAACTGGTAAGACGTAACAGTCCAAGGAAAGATTATGCACCTGTGCTTTCATACTTTCAGGGGAACAATGAAATAGCGACTGAGAAGGTGAATGTTTCAAATGATACTCTGCAAGTCTCCGTTCATTTCTTTCTTGACTAAGTTGGAACTGCAAAGAGACCATCTCTTGCTCCAGTTTGGAAACAGAATCCTCCAATGTGGCAATATTGGACAAGAGTTCCTGGGCCTGTGCATGGTGCAATGCAACTTATAAGTGAAACCAATATATCAGATGTTAGTGCTACTGTGATAAAATGTATGGTTGTCAAAGTCAAGGTATAAGTCATGCATTACACTGATGGGTAGAAAAAAAAATGGCATGCATAATAAATTTATGATGACCATTTAAAGTATAAAACTTCAAAGACTAAAGAGGTTATCAGAATATTTGAATACATATAAACATTGGTGCCTTTGGAAAAGAAAATTCTGTTGTTAGAACCAATGTGCGATGGAGAGTACAACACAAGTATTTCAATCTAGGATAACAAAAAGGTTGGTTAAAAACCGAACATTTCAATTGAGAAAATTCCGACTTGGAAAACATTGAAGAAGCAACTGGAAGAGATTCTAGGCATAACTTCTTTATAAGACATTATTCTTTTTCCTTAGGCTCAGTTTGGAAAGAGTACAAATGCAAATCTGTACGGTGTAAATACATGCAAAATATAAGGTTTTGCACTTTACATATTTGTATTTGTACTTCTTCCAAACTTAGGGTCAGTTTGGAAAGAGGACAAATACAAATATGTACAGTGAAAACCTTGTATTTGCACTCTTACCAAACTGAGCCTTAACAACAATCATGCAAGAAAAACCAAGTGAATTCACAAGTACAACATAATTTTTTATCAAAAACACAATAACATGAATTTTTATTAAAGAAAACAATTGAGAACTTAAAAAAAGGAAGATAATAATCAAAACAGAGCATAAGAGACCAAAATTAAATACAATAAGGACCCAAGCAAAAGCCTCCTGTCCAAGGCAGTCAAACTAGAAAAGTAGTAAACAGGATACGGAAAACCAAACCCAGAACCAGAAAATGAAATTGAAAGGACCAGACATACATATTGTGGGATGCACGAGGGACTAGATAATGATGCAGTAGTATGCTCAACAGCATTTTCCAGGACTGCACGCAGTTCCATCTCTTCTTGCAACTGTTTTTGCAATCTCTCAACCTAGAACAAAATATTTTTATCAGGGTATATCATAGAAACCAACAAATACAGGTACCTTCGAATAACCTTTCAAACACTATTGACATGCAAAGCTTGGAAGCTTTTTTAAAGTGAAAGCTAAAAGGTTGTATGAATTGATCAAAAGCTCCACCAAATCAGATTAGATCATAACAAAATGCATACCTACCATCCCTGCTACACTTCAAACGTGAAATAACATTCCTACTAAACATAATAAACTTTATCATGAAAATGATTTCCTCTAGCTCCTATTCTTTCAGTGTAGAAGGAACAGAATTTTTTCAGTCCATAAATCTTCAGTTATATTTCTGCCTCTTTTACAGCAAAGGTTTTTCCATCTGCTCCTTTTACATGGAAACAAATGCACTAATACAGCCTATATGCCAAACAATTTCAACTTACCCAACAATACCGGCAAAAACTAAATTCCCGTCAAAGCAAGAGTAAAGTAGACTTCATGAAATTAATATTTGTTTACATATGTTTATTCTTAGAATGTATAACTATAAATGATCTTCTCCAACCACCCTAATCACACTTAGAGGTCACAACTGAAAGTTCTATCTCAAATATTACTAATAAATATCTGCAAACTAGAATTTGAAAACGACAAACATGAACATGATAATAAATGTAAACAAAGATGTAAAAGGTATTTTCTTTTTCCCCTTTTTGGAAAGTTGGTGCTGTCTTTGTTGACTTCCAGTTCATGGAACTTGAATCTGTTTAACATAAACAGAGTAATAAAAACAACATAAACAAACTGCTGACACTTACATCCTGTTCAAGCTTCAATTTGTAAGGATAGGAACTATCACTTTTACTGCACGGACTAAAGTTTGCAGCATCTTCACTAGAATTGCTTGCCTAAAGAAGAGAAGGATTAAAAATAAATCATAAACCATAGAAAACAAGGCAAGCTTCGCATTAAAAGACTAAACTTCTAACATCCAATTACAATCATGTAATTAAGTTTAACTTAAACTGTTAACTGAAGGTAAGGATGGAAGGATTAGCTGAAACAAGAAAGAGGTAAGCGTGTGTAGTTCATACCATGCCCAGAAAAAAAATAAATTATTGTTCTGATTGTGAAGGCATATAAAAATATTAGTCCACTTCATTCACTAACAGCAAATGAGATAGCAGCGCCACAATACGACCAGCTCCAGTAATAATTTTGTTATGGTTAAGATTCCAAAGTGAATCAAAACTAAGAAAAGTTGTCACCTCTCCAACATGTTGAAGAGTTAATGATATGTCCAGATAATACTACCAGAGATATCACATCAGTAATTCATAATATAACTACATTCTAAATTTTAAAATGTTACCACCATACCACTCTATGTCAGAGCCAATAATTGAACAAGTATATAATCTTGTAATAACAAATAATTATGTTACTTATTTTGATAATCTTATGGAAAATAAATTGCATTTAAATCATTTAAGGTGCCAATGTAAAGTATGGACAGAAGAACAACAATGCATTCATAAACCAACATATTATCTTCTCCAATATATTGCTCCTTGTTTATATGAAATTATTTAACATAAAGATTTCTCAAAAATATGAACCAACTACTTCAATCTTTAGTGAAATCCCATATCCAACCAAGTTCTTGCCATATCCAGGTATATTTCCAACTAGAGCAACAAGCCAACAAATACTAACCTCTAACATGGGAGAGCTGCAGCTCCTAAATTCGTTCACAATGTCCAATCGATTTTCTGAACCACGACCTCTCATGACAGTCTGTGAACATTTGGCGAGGGGATCACTTCTGATGAAAACAGCAAATAAGCATCAAATAGAATTCCCTGAATCCTGACCTATTTGTAGCATTTCCTAATAAAAGTCCACAAAAATCACCAGAAAGCAAGGGAGAAATTACAAAAACAACAGCAAGAATAAACCACTTACAGGCTTAAGGTTAATTGTGCAACCGATGAGTACATCTTGTAACCATGGGGTGTTACTTTTACACTGAGCATCAAAAAAATGTTGGGATAGTTTATCTGTTTCCATAAATCATAAAGACATAAGCTTGACTTCGAAGTAATGTATACAATGAAGCATAATCAGAGAGAAGCAGCAAGTGTAGAGAAATGCATAAATTTCTGAGGATCGAATGAAATTCTCCATAAAACCAATGAACCTGCAAGACGTCTGCAAGCATCTAGGATTGTAATCTGATGTTCTTAAACTGAAAATTAAAGCAAAAAAAAATTAAAAATATTTTACACGTTTATTTTTGAAAAACTAAGGATGAAACTGGCGCTGGGAAATCTAGGAGAAGTTGAAAAGCAAGAGCATAGAAGTATGAATAGTTAGCGAAGTCACTGTGATTCATGTGAGCTAGTAAATGCCAAACAAACCCACGAATGAACAGTTGGTACAAGTCATTTTCAACGCAACCAACCAAGGTTCACAAGCAGCAAAACCCATTAAGTCAAAAAGGAAAGGAAAATGGAAAAGAAAAAATATATATATAATCCCTCAATCAATTGCAACCTTTATCAAGCTTAATGCCAAAACTAGGAGAAATTCCCAATGCATCCAAAAAAATATTTTTTTATAAAAAGAGGATAAATAAAAAGGGTTGTATATTCTTCGAGATCCTGACCTTCTGCCCTGGTTACCCTAAAAACATAACTGAGAATGAACGCAAATCTCATCTGGTTATCAAATAAAAATGGTTCAATCTCAGCTCACCCAGTCAAGAAATAAACTAAAATAAATGAGCATGAACAATACACACAAATACATATAGCCCTTCCTAGGAATCAAAATCTCATCGCGGAATATAATTACAACCAATATAGCCCTTCATAGAAGACGAATTTTTGTTTCTAACCTTTATGAATATATAATCACAACCAATATCATACCTTAAAAAAGTTGAAAGGTTGGGGTATAATAAAAGCAATAGGATCCTTCTATAACCACATTGACCCATAAGAAAGCAGAAAAGAAGCCCTAAACAAGACAAGCTCCGAGTAACCCACTTCAGGGAAAAAAGAGAAAAGAAAAGAAAAGAGAGGCTAAAGTTGTTATGACTTATGAGGGCTTAAAAAGCTGGGTAAACAGGTGCTTAAAAAAGCACTTGTTTGAAAACTTCCAAGGCTTTAGTACACAATAAACCCCATTTCTCATAAATAAAAGGGTCTGAAAAAGGGACTCAAAATCGGGAAGACAGATGTAGTGGACCTACCATGTCCATGGACAACGCATCAAACCAAAACCCAACTAAATGAAACACCAACCCTTTTCTTTTGCAGTAAAACCAATTACAGTGGCAGGATCTAACTTTTTTCTTTTTTACTTAAACGAAGAAAAGAAGGAAAAAATAGAAACTTTTACTATTTCGTTTTGATTGATCTAATCTAATCCTTGAAAGTAATAATGATACAATCATAGCTCTGCAATGAAAAAGCTTCTTTTGATTTTTTTTCTCCCTCTATCGGATAAAAACGCTTTGTACTTGAAGCAAGAAAAGAACCAGGAATCATTCGGTAATACGGGTAACAATTGAAGGGAAAAGAATCCAACCTGAAATACAAAAAAGGGGGAGGTGGGGGAGAGAGAGAGAGAGAGATGCTCTTGCCTTAACACATATCCAACTCTATTTCTGAGAGAGATCAAAGAGTTAATCCACTGAAATGCTGATATTCCACCGCCCGTCAGAACCCAAAACCAGTGAAAAGGTTAAAAAAAACAAAAGTAGGGAGAAAAGAGCACTGAATGAAATCAACTGCGAAGGTCGAGAGCTCCTAGCCTCCTTCCCAAGTGAAAAGTGAAACGGATCGAGCAGAAAATGAAAAGGGGAAAGACGGAAAGGAAATAAATCACCGTGACAAGGAAAAAATTAATAAAATATGGTTTAAACTTTTAACCTTTATTTATTAGTAATAAACGTCAACGGAACGGAGGAGGAGTTGGAGTCCTGGAGAGTGGTCGAGTGGAGAGAGGCCACCACGTCATCGTCATTCATCCATCGATTCTCTGTATGCATATATAAAGCCACAAGCTGTCAAGTCCGCAAGAGTTCAAATTTTAAACCCAGAAAGCAGGCTCTCTGAATTCAAATCTGCATTTATACTTTTTTTAATCGTTTGAACTTTGAACAAGGAACATGCAGTACAGAAATGGCCAGCCAAGCCAAGACCCAGAGAAAGACAGAGCTCTAGACTGCGATGATACCCACAATGCAACACCACAGAAATTTCAAATACATTAGGGATATGATAAAAACAAAAGGAATCTGACACTACTTCCAAGTCTCAAGTTTCAAAGGAGAGGGGAGAGAGAGGGGGGGGGAACATAAAGAAAGAAAATTTTCTGTCTTTATGTTGACAGAGTTTAGTGACAAAAGGATGCTTTTTTCAAATGGCGACACTGGAAAAAATCCGTATTTCCTGAAATCGTTAGAACTCGAGAAGCAGATGAGGCGGTGGATGTTCAGAAAACTATGGCGCCTCTTTTGTCTGCAAATGCGCGGACCACTCGGAATTTGAAAACGAGGGCTAGAGTCTGGAGTCTGCGGTCACCCTCCTTCTCGTTTCTCTGCTCCCGCCCCCCAGTCCGGCAGTCCCCACACTCGTCGCTCACGGACTTTCATTTTGGATTTCTCTCTCTCTCTTTGTAATTGTTTTTTTGAATCCTCACTGCAACTTGGATTTGGATTTGTATGGATGATGAGGATGGATCAACTGAATTCATTATTCATGTATGGCATTATGAATACACAAAGCCCACTTGACTTGGGAGTCGGTAGAAGGGAAGAACTGCAGAGGCACTCAAAATTCAAATAAACAAATCTTCGAGTCAACGTAGATTCTAATCCGACGATAGATAGGAGAAGTTTCTCCTCGAGTAAAGTTGGATAGAAATTCTCTTGACCCCTGATATTTGACGGAATGGAGATGGAATGCGTTATACACTTATACCCGCAAGAGACGACCGAGGAAGAAGAAGAATGAGGCAGCGAGAGGCGAGAGCGACTCAAGACTGCAGAAATCAGAATAATGATCAATAATCAATGACAATGTAGAGTAGAGTCCATTTCATTCCATTTGGCAAAGTATCAAGTACACACGTCAAAGAATTATGTTTGGCAATTAGCATGGACGAAGAAGAAAACCTGGAAACACCACGTCACCACCAACTACGCTCCAGCCAGCCTCCACCTTCGAGAATCGAGAGAGAAGAGCCATTATGAGCTCACATCGTCTGTCCCCACCAATGGAATGCTGCCACGCCGCCTTAATTTTGAAACTCTAATTTAACGGAATCCGGACTTAAACGGCAGTATGGACTCCGAAAAAATATTAAATTTTATTAACCTGCCTAATTCTCTTCCCTTTCGTATCTCTCATAAACTCCTCTTTTCTTCTACCCTCACCACTCACCACCACTACAAGTCTATAACCAGTTGCCGCCTAATTCTCTTCCTCCTCTCCTTTCACCGATCACTCCTCCTCCTCTCTCTCTCTCTCTCTCATTCTTCTTTCTTCTCCATCGAGTATTAGGGTTTTCTTTCTTTGAGATCCAGCAGCAACCAGTTGGCCGGTTAGGAGCTATACCACTTTCTGGCGTGAAACTACTGCAACCAACTTTCATGTTCTATCTTTTTTTTTTTTTTTTCTCATTGGTTACTCTCTCCTGCCAGAGCTCGAGGACCCTTGGAGTTCAAAATCCATGTGTCCTGTTGCAAACCCTAACTCTAGTTCATCCGTCTGCCCTTTCTACTACTTAGGGAACAAGCACCATTGTGTGCCGGAGATCTTCATTGAAAGTCCGATTCATTCTTACTTTTTGTAGGGTCTTTCGCCTAGTGGGGTTGGTGGCGTCCTTGTAGCTTATTCTGGATTTCATTTTCTTAGTTATGAATTGATGGATTACATCTGTGCACTTACTGATCTAGATGAAAAGAAGGTAACCACTAAACCCTTTCGCATGTTTTCATGCGTGTGGACATGGGACATCTATTCAGTGAAAGTTTCATCTTCAGAATTCCCTGTAACAGTCAGTGCTTCATAAGTAAATAAAATATTAAAACGACCTTCTAGGAGAGTTCACAATAAATACTAAAAATTGATTCATACTTTATATGAAAAAAACAGTGTTTGTGGTGGTTATTTGGAGTTTATTGTTTATTAAATCTGATTATCATTGATAAGGACCAAAATTCTGGCTCAGGGCTCTTGCCATAAATCTAAACTCTGAAGTAAGGTTGATCTACTGATAATCTTTAAGTCTAAAGCAGAGAAGGAAGAAGAAATACGGCCGAGAGGCTGCGGTAGTTGTAATGGCGATGAGGAGGGAAGAAGAAAAGAAGAGTTTATAATAGATGTGAAAGGGAAGACATTTGAGCGGGTTAATTAAATTCAAGTGTTTTTTAGAATCCAGACAGGGGACAGACGATGTGAGCTCAGCCATTGTCCTCTTTTGGGCCCCACCCTTTAGGGCTGCAGCTTTTGGGAGACTGTGTGCGGCTTTTCAATAGGCAAATTTTTTGAACTATCTTTATGGGTTTACTTAATTGACTAATTATACTTTTATGTGCTATTTTATTATTTTTGACAATTATCTAAAACCCATTAACGTTCCGTCATATTCACATGTGACATCACGTAATTGTTATAACTTTTGAAATTTTCTAATTTATCCTTTTATTGTCGAAAATGCCCTTTTCCTTTGCGCAAAACAATTCTATCATAAAAATCATTGGTATCAATACGAGCTACGAGGTTCATAAGAAACCGGAAAACCGAAAATCCGGTTAATCATTGGTTTGATTTTAAAAAAAAAACCGAAGGGTCGGTTTGGTTTTCAGTTAACCTATTAAAAAACTGGCGGTTAATCGAACCGACTAATTTTTATAGATAATATATATTTTTTATATTTCCCTGCCCCAACGGCCCAGCCCAGCCTCCTCGCGGCCTACGGCCCTGTGCCCCTCTGACCCTCTCTTCTGGCCCAAGCCCAATTCCTTTCACATTCGAATTTTGAACCCCACCAAACAAAAGGCTAAAACATGAAAAAATCTCTCTTCTTTCTTCTTCTTTGAGCCTTGAACAAAGAACTCGCAAGTGAAAAGTGAAAACCCTAGCAACTAAGACGTCAGCCGCCACTCCTCTTCCCTCGCCTCTTCTTTCTTCTCTCCTGTCGTCGTCGCCTGTGGCTGTGGGCTCAGGGCTGTGGTTTCTTCTCCTCAAATAATCAGAATACTGAATACCAAACCATTTCTCCTCTGACCCCTAACCGTCTCCGTCGCCGGTTCTACTTAAATACTGGTAAATGATTTTTTTAGTTAAAATAGTTAAATATTTGATATAAAATTTGTTGAAAATACAAATGTCTCATGTCTGAAACTCTGAATGTCGAATGAATGATACCACTAAATAGGATCTTTCTTTTGGTTTGAGTTTGGGACTCATACTCTCTTAGTCTTAGTTAGGTATATTTTGCTTTTGGAAAATGCTATAGATTATAGATATAATCATATAATAATCTTAGTTCAGATTATCAGATAGGCTATAAGTATACGGAATGTTTGGCATGCAATGGGAGTTCTAGACTGTGGAATCTT